TTGAAACTATTAATTACTAGAATTATGAATAAAATTTTTTGAATAAATTAATCACTTATCAGTAATTTTCTATTATCATTATTATCATTATTGTGAAAGTTATTGTTATTATTAAAAATAAAGTTTAACAAATAGCTTTAATATTTCTATAAAATATTTACAGTATAATAGTTTAGAATAATATATTGTATATTAATAATTAATTAGAAATTTTTTTAAATATAATTTATTTCAGTAATAATAATAATAATAATAATAAATATTTAAAATTGCTAATTAATTATTATACAATAATGATAATAAATTATAATTTAACACTTACTAATAATTATAAAGTAAATACAAAACTAATATGATTAAAAAATTACGAGTCAATAATTTATTAAAATTGAACTTAAAATTATAATCAAAAAATTTGTTTAATACAGTATTATTATACTAAACTTAAACGTATTAAAAACTTAAAAGTATTTAAATAATAAAAATGCTATTATTATTATAACAGTAATAGAAAAATATTATATTTTCAAAAAAGTTATAAAATATATTATACAATAAGGCACTTAAAAAATATTAGATTTTTAGTCAAAAAAGCCAACAGTTTTTAAAAGCATATATTGGATATTAAACGTGACGTTAAAAAAAAGATAATTCAATTTATTGTTATGTATTTTATTATAAATGCCAATCATTTCCGATGAGATATTTTTTTGGCAAACAATAAATAATGAAAAAATAAATATATTTATGTTGTTATCTAATATTTTTACATATTTTCAAATTGGGAAAAATTATGGTTATTGTTATTACAAGCAATAATCATTATTATATTTAAATATTAACTAGAAATATGTAATATCGCATATATTGTAGATTTTTTTATGTTTAAAACTATTTATTTTTTAGTAAAACATTTTTGTATACTGTACAGTATATGCTTAATAAATAATAAAACAAATATTAAAATTTAAAAACTAATTAATATTTCAATCGACAAATTCAATGACAATAATATTTTCAATTGATGAATAAATACAAAACAAAAATTATTTAAACATTTTTTTTTGTTTTGTTTTTAAATGAGGAAATTGTTACATAAAACACACTAAATATTTTAATATTTTATAAAATACATGAGAAAATTGATGATTGAATGAGAAAAAAAAGAGAAATCTTTTATTTTATTAATATTGAAAATCTAATGACTTATTGAGTATTAAATTTTTTATAATAATAATATATTAAATATTAAATCAATTGTATAGACAACAACAAAAATTGATTGTTCACAACGTTTTACTGGTCATCACAACATTTAAACACTGATATTATAATATAAAAGTGTGAATAAAATTATAAAAAGTAATTTAACTCTCATATTATTATTAAAATTATTATTAAAGTTATCATTATTAATATTTAGTTTATCCATCAATTTATTGTATGTAAACTATATTGAATGATAATAATTTTATTTCTCATCAATTTATTTAGCTAAATTCAAAGTTCAAATTGATTATATATATATATATATATATATATTAATAGTTTATATAAGTTTCACCTCAAATAAAATGTTTTCTTTAAAAAACTAAAAGTAATGCTAAAAGTAATTATTCACTAAAAAATTGAAAAACATAATAAATTTTGTTTTGTTGTTAATAAAATACAAACAATTTTTATTATGTTATTTACTTTTTCTTACTTTTTCTTTCTAATTATTGATTCAATGAATAGTTCTCTCACTCTCTCTCTCTCTCTCTCTCTCTCTCTTTCTTTCTTTCTCTCTCTCTCTCTCTCCCTTTAAATATATAAAAAACAAAATTTTGATAATTATATAAAATGAAAATATCAATAATTTATAAGTTTTCTCATAACATAAAGATTAAATGAGTGAAATTTAAACAACAAAATTAAAAATTATTTATTATTTAAGTATTAACTGTTATTTTCAATTTAACAACAAAATTATTTTCAATTTTCTTTTCGTATAAATATGTTTTCATATTTCATAAGTCAATCGATGAATAAAATTATATTTGTATTAACCATTATAGTAGTAAATAATGTTTATTGAGTATAATAATTGATTTACAATTGAAAAATTGAAAAAAATAAATAAATGCTATAAATAATATTTTAATGTATAATAATGTACAGTAATAAATAAAGCTATAATAATGCTAAATGAAAAAAATATAATTAAATATAATTGCAATTGACAGCAAAAAAAAGCATACTAAATATAAATGTATAAATAATTTTGTTTTTTAAGGGGAAAACCAGTACTATAAATACAATATACTATTAATACTGTACACAAATTTTATATTAAAATTATAATTTTTAAAAATAATTATCTTATTTATTTATAATTATCAATTTACTTCTAGTTTACATCCGTTATATAGCAAAACATTTTTTTCAGGCTATTAATTTAATTTTACTAATTTAAAATTAAAATTGATTTAATGGTATTACAATCCATACAACTAATAAATAACATCTTTGAAATAAAACAATAATTTTAAACAGCAATTACAGTATATTGTGAAATATTTTTCTTAAATATCTGATTGAATTAATTATATGTTTTTAAACAAAAAACAATTTAATTGAATGTCCAAAATATTGATGTTATTTTATTATACTAATCGATGAAAATCATGAATTTACTATCAAAAAAAAATATTTTGTGTTAAAAATGATGTTAATTATAATAATAAAATTACACAATAAAATTTGCATTTTATTAGCCGATAAAAACCAATTGTCATGATTTTTTTCAAAAACCCGTACTGTTTATTACAATATAATTAACTGATAATCTTATCAATGATATATCTATTAAACAGTATATACTGTATCTATCTATACATACACATAAAAAATTGTGTGATTTTTATATAATATTTTATTATTTCATTTTCATTTATTTAAATAACACACACAAACATATAAACAATATTTAGTACACTTAAACTACAGTATATATCATTGTGTAATAGTAGTGATAATTTATATTTTGTATGCGATATTATTGCAAGCCTTGAATTAAAATCTCTCTCTCTCTCTCTCTCTCTCTCTCTCTCTCTCTCTCTCTCTCTCTTACTCACCAATGATGATGATTATGATGACCCTCATTATTTTATTCATAAATATATATAACTAAATATAAGGTATATACACGATAATTGTTAAAACAAAATTATATATTATATTGTGTATATGTGTGTATGTTATGGTTTAGTGGGAGAAACCAAATAAAATTTTCAATACAGAGAAATTTTCCCAAAATTATTTTATTATAAATATACGGTATATTAACAAATGAGAAAAATAAAATTTTATTAAAATATTCTTATTTAGTTTACTATAATAGTAATTCATATGATATATTAGTTTGAATAGATATACAAAAAAAAACAATTTCTATTTTAAGGTATGCTATAAGTATCATCTTTTATAATATTTACTGTATAGTGAATACATAATGATGTAATCATCAATTTTTTATGGCTTTCCCCAGATTTTGGTCTTTAAATTGATTATTATTATTATTATTTCAATTGAAGGGGAAAGTTAGTGTATCTGATGAAAGGACTTACCTTTTATGACCAATTAAAGGTGTTTTTCACTATTAAAAAGCGCTTATCTTTTATTATTGCTATTAGTGTGTGAGTGTGTGGTGTATATATTTATTTATATAACTATACAGTAGTATAAAAGCTTATTATATTTACATATATATAAATTATATATATATTATATTAAATAAATATATTTTATTTTAGATACTACTACTACTTTTACTACTCACCCCCTTATTTACACAATACCTTATGTATGTGACTTACATGACTAATATGACTATAGGCTATACACATACACACAGTATTTATTAAATTTTATTGAGTTTCTATTGAATTATTTATTTTTCAAAAAATAACAAATAAAAGGTAATAATAATAATAATAATAATCAAATAAAAGAAAATATTATCATTATTTTACTTTCTATATAAAAAGCTCCAGCCTTATTGGTAATGATACTCATGTAGCTTTTGGAGGTCTATCGAGACATAACCGTCCCCTYAAATAAAAATTTAATAATAATTATAAATAATAATAAACGGTATATCTCTCTGTCTCTATCACTCTATCATCACTTGAGTCTTGTAAACAGATATCTTCAGAAACACTGTTGAAGAAGACTTCCTATGATTTTGTGAACAAATAAAAAAGTTAATGATTTTTATAATTTTTCTGTTAATTGTTGTCTAATAATGTTTTTTTTTATTCATAGTTGTTGTTGATGTWGTTTATACAGTATTTTATTGTATTATTATAAAGAGCTTAATATAGAAGTGAAAACATTTTTGTTTGTTTAAAAAAAGTAAAAATAAATATAATTTAAAAATTTTTGCTTTTCTATTGTCTTTAAATATGTATATAAATATATAATTTGTGTTTCTTAAAAATTTACTTATATTTTTTACCATTTATTACTTATATCATTATTATTTTATATAAAACATTATTATTATTATTATTATTATTATTATTATTACAATATATATAGTTAATAGTTTTGCACTCCTTTTTTCTCTATGTGTTTTGTATGTTATGTTTTTTAATTTTGTTTATTCAAAGAAAAAGTAATAATAATAATAATATTTTTATTTAATAATAATTATTATTATTATCGTAATAGTAGTTAATATAATAATAAATGTTTGTTTGAGAGGATAGTTGAAGAAGACACTCAAAAAAAATTTATTTAACAAAAAAAATTTCAATAATACTGTATTTATTTCTATTATATTTTGTTTACTAAAAGAGATTTTATTTTCTCATAAGATTTTCATTTCAAGAGTTTGTTTTTATTTCAGCCAAAAGTTTATATATTTTTTCCTTATATTTAAGATTTTTTTGTTTCATTTCATGTTTTATTTCATTCATTTACTAAAATATTATTTTTCCAAATATTTTCTCACAGATTATCCAACAATTTCTATCATAATTTTCTAACCAAATGATGGTGTGATTGTATGTTTAGATTATATATATATTTTTTAAAAAAATTATAATATAAACAACTATTGCTTGAATTTTATTTGTTTTAATCAACAAAAATATAATAATAATAATTTTAATAATTAGTTTTGTTTTGTTTTTAGTAATTATTATATATTGTGTTCATCAATAATAAATAATTTTCATAATATTAATAATAAATAAAATAAAAATGTTTATTAAATACTTATTATTCGCCGTTATTGTCATAAATGCAGTCAACTGTCAAAACATTAGAGTAAGTATTAGTTATTATAAATTATTTGATATTATTATTATTATTATTTATTTTATATAATTATTTATATGAATATTAAAATATTTGACTATGCAATGAGCTTAATATTTATTTTTTATTAATTTTTGTTTGTTTGTTAAGCATGTATTATTTAAATGATTAAAAACAAATTCATTATAATATGGATACACTTTGAATAATAATATTATATAATTATAACACTGTTTGTTTGAGTTGAATATTTAAATTTCAAAATAAATATTTGTCATTTTTATTAAATATTTATTTCAATATATACAGTATACAGTATATACTGTAGTATTATGTATTGTACTGTATTTATACTATACAATAATTGAATATTAAGTTTCATCAATAATTGAATATTTATAATAGATTATGAATTATTTTGTAATAGTTTTTTTTTTGAAAAATTTAAATTAATTACCATTTATTTTCTACGGAAGTGAGTGTGTCTAATGCAAACAAATCGTGTATCAATTAATTATACATTTAAAAAAAAWTTATATATATATTTTAAATAATTTTCCACTATATATTAATTTATTTYCAAAGTAAATTTTATTAAAAAATTATTTTAATTTAATCTAATTTTTGTGTTGGATTGTATTGATGTGCTTAAGAAAAAAATGAGAAAAAATAAATAAATAAGAAAAACAAAAGTTATTTGCTATATAATACATAATAGCATTAATTTTTTATTATTATTATTACAGTATTATTTTGCTTACTGACCCTAATATATGGATATAAAAGATGATAAAACATTTTGTAAAATGTTAATTATATTATAGAGTATTTTTTAATGGTATTTCTAAAAAAATAATAATTAGATATTTTTTAATTTATATATTTTTAAGCAATTTGTTGAAATCATAAATGAATTTAATAACTAGAAACATAATAATTAGTTATTTTTTATTGAAAATATTAAATTACTGTTACTTTTTATAATATTATATTTTTTGACTGTCCACTGATTTTAATTTTTTATTAATAATTATATGATTTTGTTGTATTAATTTGAATTTAACTTTATTATAGTATTTGAAATTTTTTATTAGTTTCACGTACAGTATATTTGATGTAGATTTGCATTAATTATTGTTTAATACTTTAGGAAAAAATCAATTTACTTTACTATTTCAAACATTATTGATATTATGTTTTTTTATAAATGTATTACACATTATTATTCAAAAAATACTTTATTCAATATTTTTTTTTAAAATTCATAATAAAAAAAATATTATCTTTTCTGATGATTAATTAAAAGTTGAATGAATCAATCAATTCAAGGATTGAATTGATTATATTCATCAAAAATATATAATAAAATTTAATTACAAAAAACATAAATACATTATTTAAAGATACTTAATATAACAATAAAATTCAAGTTTAATAACTTTTTGATTAATATTATTTAAATTATTTGAATCAAACTTAATTATTTAAATAATATTTTGTGCTATATTATATTGTTAGTATTATTACCTTGACACTATCATAATTTTCTTAAAATTTATTTCAATAGAAAATTTAATGTATTATCATAATGTTATATTTTAAATGTTATTTAATTAACATTTAAAAAAACAATTTCATTATGATTTTAATAAAAAAGTTGATTGATTAAAAATTAATAATWAATTTTTTTATAAAAAAATTTATCAATAATTATAATAAATTATAAAAAAACAATTATAGTATATAATGTATTGCATAACAAATACTAGTATTTAAACATTAATTAATCAAAAGTTTTTTTAGGAAAAATGTTTAAATAATTTTTCATTTTTATGTTAATAAAAATTTTAATTATTATTACTGTTTTTAGGTCCGACGTCAAGGTGTTAAAGGATATYCACCACAACAACAGCAAATAGGAACTGGATATCGACCGCCACCACCACCTCCACCGCAATCGAAAGTAATTGCAACCCAACGCACCCGTCCTTCTCGTCCGAGACCTCCACCGCGACCACAACTTCAAGAAGACGAGGGATCGGTCAACGCGGCCGACGGCGAGGCCAATGCTGAGCCACCGATTTATGGCGGCGTTATGGGAACGCCTGGCGTCGACTTTCCCGGCTATACTCAGATACCGAAAACCAGTTTCACCTGTACTGGCCAGCCATACGAACCGGGAATGTATGCCGATATGGAAGCCCAGTGTCAGATCTATCACATGTGCTTTCAGGGACGCAAAGAGAGCTTCATGTGTCCGATCGGCACTGTCTTCAATCAGGCCATACTTGGCTGCGATTACTGGCATTCAGTAGACTGTTCGGCGACACCRAACTTCTATGGAATCAATGAAGAATTAGGTATATAATTGATTCAACTTTTCATAATTATTATTGAGTTTTATTCATACAATCGTTAACTTTAGGCAAAGCCGGTGCCGAACCGGGACCGGGAGGCGCGCCACCGCCGGCCAGACAACAACAACAAGGCAAGCAACCGCCCCGTAGACCAGCGCCAGCATTACCAAGACCTCAACCTCCCAGACAGCAACCGCCACCACAAAAAATCAATGTCATAGCGCCGCCACCACAGCATCAAATAGCCGCCAAAATCCCGCAGCGACCACAACCCCCGGCTCCACAACCGTTCAGACCACAACCCGTAGCGCCACAACCACAGCCACCGCGAAAACTACCGCCACAGAGACCGTACCCACAACAGCCCCAACAGCAGCGTCCTTATCAACCTCAGCCCCAACAGCCTCGTCCTTATCAGCCACAACCTCAACAGCGACCATTAGCACCGATACCGCGACCCCAACCCTATCCTCAACCTCAACAAAGACCATACGTTCCACAGCCGCCGCCACAGCCCAGACCGCAACCGCGACCAATTGGTAAGACATCTCCACCCCGACCCATTCTCCCGCCCCCTGTCCTACCACCCAGAGTACCTTTACCGCCAGCACTGCCGCCACAAATACCGCAACGACCTATTGTTCAGACAAGAGATGAAGAACCGGTCGATTTTAGTCAAAAACAGATCCAATCGTATGACTACTAAAGCGCCGGGAATTATGGCATTACATTGAATGCCTATTTCATTGCTATCAGTCATTGCTATCATTTTATTAMATCAAAAAATTTTGAATACATGATAATAAAATAGACAAAATACACAATATTTACCACATATTTATGTATATTTACAACACTTTTTTGATAATATCTATTAATTTTTTTTATTAAGGGGTTTAAAATATTAATACATATATTTGTTATGATATTTAATCAATCAATACTAACATCACAAAAATAAAACAATTTTTGATATATTTTWATTATATGTWATAATAAKAAAACTAATAATAATAATAATAATGTTATCATTATTGATATATTTCAATAATTATTCACMAAATTAAGTGTTATTATTATCCAGATATTGAATAGTTATTTAGATGTATACCAAATTAAAATTAGTCATTATTTTTGATTAATAAGTTTATTTGTTATAAAAGTTTTTTTTATAAAATATTTTACTATTTGTTTAAGAAACATTTGTTTATTATTTTAATAATTTATAATAATCTCAYTATTAATAACTATTAGTATATGRTTTAATCATTTGGATCATTGAAAAAACAAACAAAAATATTTAAGAAAAGGTGCAAGTTTATATTTAAACAAAAATTAAACTAATAACTAATAACTAAATGTCATTTATAAAATAAATGTTTTTTATAAAAAAATATTWTTGTATAAAATCATTGTCATTATAATTATTTTATTTTTTTTTAAAAAAATTGATCCAATYCTAAACTATTCATAATGATTTTTCAAAAATATTAACAAGTAAAGTTTACTAAAAATTTTGCTTTATTTAATTGTACAATTTTTTTAAACAAAATATTGTTGATAATACAGTAATTGCAACATTATATTTGTAACAATTTAATATAATAATATCTATCAAAATACCGTATATATATATAATTGTATTGTCACATTAATTAATAACTATTACTTTAACTATAACTATAATTAAACTAMAATTTTAAAAATAATTAATTTTCATAAATGTTATTATAATTTTACAAACATATTTATATATTTAATATTAATTAATCACTTAATTCAATTTATATTTATATAACGGTATATTATAATGTCTAATATTTTATATCCATTTATAAATTTATTAATTCAATTTTTTTATTTATTTAATATTTCTTTAWTAATTGATAACTAATTTYTTTGTTATTAATGTTAACTAAAACCACTAATAATTATTAACCACTAAACAGGCAAAACTCAACCCAAACCACAACAACAACAACAAGAAACTAGTGACGAAACTTTAGCACCCGTTCAGAGACCGCCGGCATCACCACCGCGACGGCCAATAAGTAAGACCAGTCCACCCAAGAGTATTATCGGCGGACAATCGCGTCAGAGACCGACACCGGGACAGCAAAAGCCAAAACCCAAACCTATACCKCAAGTGCCTGAAGAACAAGAAGAACAGCCACAAGTGATTGATGCTGAAGAACCCGTTGATGAACAACAAGAAGAACCAAAAAATCAGATTAAACCACAACAAGAGGAACCAATCGATGAGCCAAAAGATGCTGAAGAACCAGAGGAACCGCAAGAAACAGATGAACAACCAAAAGAAGAAGACAAAGAAGAGGATCAGCCACAGGACTCTGACGATGAAACTATTGTCGAACCGATAGCTCCGTTACAGCCACCTAAAGAAAGACAACAACAACAACAGCCATCACAGGAGACACAAGACGAGGACCAAGAAGAAGAAAAAKACGAGAATCCAACAGAAGATGATGAACCTGTAGAAGATGCTGGAGTTCCACCAAAACCGAGTCCCAGACCTAAACCCAAACCACAGGAACAGCCAAAACAAGAATCTGCTGACGAAGAGCCACAACAACCGGAAGAACAACAGCGCGATGTCGAACCCGTAGAGGAAGACCAACAACCAGATCAACCTGAAGAATCTGAAGAGCCTGAARAACCAGAACAAAAACCCGAACAAAAACCGTTAGCCACTCAAAGACCAAGACAACAGCCAAAACCGAAGCCAACCCGACGACCCGTTCAACAGCCAGARCCCGAAGAGCCGCAACAAAGCGACGAAGAGCCCGAAGAACCAGTAGATCAGGAACCAGAAGAACAGAAACCGAAACCAAAGCCAACTCAACGACCAAAAACTGCTCAAAAACCGGTTCAACGCCAGCGTCCAACTCAACGACCGATAAAACCGGCGCCGAAACCACAGAAACCGACACCCGATGAACAACAGTTCGAAGAGGATGACCAACAGATAGAACAGCTCCGGGATACCGAACCGTATGATAAATGATAGGCATTGACACCACAATATCATACAATATTGCACTGGGATTTCTATGCCTATCCGGTGCTGCCAAACCTAATTGTGCTCAATTAGTTTTAATTTTAATTTTTTTTCGTTGTCTATTTAGATATAAATATTAGTTTATATATTTTGTTAATTGCAAATCAAAATCAATTATAGATTTAGTTATCGTATTTATCAATAGTTATGGTATCTATCGCTCAAATATACAGTATATATACAGTATATACTGTACAGTATATAAGTGTTGTTATAAATAATTTTATTGTTAAAAATTATGCTATTTTTTAAATACCTGTTTAGTTGATAAAATGAGTTATAATTATAATATTTTATTTTTAATAATAATAATTTGCTGTCATTTAAATTGAATGATTTAAAGTTTTTGTTGATATTTTTATTCACACACACCCGCCCAATCAAATTATGCCACCCACCTATCTAGCTATTAGTCATAATAATAATAATAATTTTTATTATGATATCCAAATATATCCCCAAAATCACAATCAAAATTTAGGTCAATTTTATTGTATTTTTTTATTACCAATATTGTAAATAAATAAATATATATATAACTATAAATATATCAATATTTTTTATTATTATTTGTAAAACTTTTATTGTAAAACAGTTTTTATCATAAATTTTAATTGAATAAAATATTTTATGATTGATAAACTAATTTTTTAAAAATTTAACAAGAAACAAAAACAAATAAAATTATTATTTCAAAATTAAATCGAAATCAAAATAAGAAATGTAAATAAAATATATAAATTTATATTACTTTTAATATTGTCTCATAAAAAATACTATTAATAAAATAAACTATACATCTACTGTATGTAAAGTATAATTAATTTATGTTTATATTAAATTWATATATAGATATACAAATATATCACAAATATATTTTTATAGATATAAAAATAACAATATTAATTCATTATAACATTAGATATTAAATATATTCTATATTAAAAAAATTTTTGTAATATAAATATACTGTATATATAAATTTAACATAAATTTACATTTATTTTAATATTAAATACTATTTATAATTATATATTTATTCAACAACAAAAACTTATTTATTTATAATGATTATTAATTAATATTTATTATTAAAAAAAATTATTTTGATAATAATAATAATAATAATACTAATAATGATAGATGTGATGGAAAATTATTATCATTATTACTATTTTAAGATTATTATTGATTAAAATCGATGCAATGTTGCGTCCTGTGGCGGCAATACACCGATCCTCTCATTGAGAAAGTAGTAGTCGGGAGATGCTGGACAGTCAACATTGTACCACCAGTCACAGGTCTGCACCTTTTGGTGATACAGTGTATGATTGGGACAGAAAAAGCTCCATTTCCTGCCGTCCGGTTGGCACACATGGAAGATCTGGTTATAGAAATTATTATTTTTATATATATAAAAAAATATTTTTTAATAAATTGACAATATAAATAAATATATTTTTTTTAATTAAAAGGTTGTATTTTTAAAAAAATATATAATTTACTAATAATTGTAATTAATTAATTATTTTATTCTACTATTATCAATTAATTATTGTTAATTACCCAATTTTATTATTTATATATATATAGTATATTAAGTTAAATTAAGTTTATTGTTAATATTGATTTAATAATAATAATTTTTAAAATATATTTTTCAATGCTTAATGCTTTCAAAATTATAAATACTATARATATTAATTAAATAAATACTAATAAATACTGTGAAAAAATAAACAACAGTTTTATGGGGACATACCTGACAGCCAGCCTCGACATCAGCATAATAACCGTAAGCTCTGTTGAGACATTGGAAACCAGTCTCTGGTATTTCCAGTGTCTGTCCACCACTGTATCCGTCGTAATCATTATCAACTCTCTGTTGTTGGTGTTGTTGTGTCGACTTTGTTGATCCGTACGATGGCTTTGGATATGACGGTCCATCTGACGAATAGGTAGTTTTAGTGGCCGCCGGTCTGTTGGTCTTAGTCTGCGAATATCCTCCACCTTTGCTTCCGTACGACGACGAAGACTTGGATGGACTTCTGTGACCACTTCGTACCGATACCGCMGGCGATGTATATTTCTGGCCCACCGATGACGAYGAAAATCCATAGTCGGCATCATTTCGTTGTTGAACTACTCGTACGGATGTCTTTTCCTGTGGTGCATAAGACACCTGTGACTGTCCGCTACCACCACTACTGCCGCCACCACCGTATCCACCGCTCAGTGATGAACTAAACAAGCTTTCATACGGGTCTCCACTGCTACCGAAGGTGTCCTCATAGGAGCGTCCGCTCAAGACATCCCTGAAAGAGCTGGTATCACTATAGGCCGACCATTGATTGGCACTGTTAGCCAGTGTTTGACTACAGTTTATGGCTATTACTGAAATTTTAAAAATAAATTTTAATTTGTTTTATTTTTTTTAAAGTAAATATAATATTAAATTTAGTTAAAATAATTGGATTTTTAAACTTAAAAACAACTTAAATATTAAAACAATTTTTTGAAAAATATTTGAAAAAATATTCAAACTTACAAAATGCTAGAAATAAAGTTATAGTTTTGAAATCCATTGCAATTTTAGATATAATGTTTTAAACCAAACAACAAATAATAATAATTATATATAAATCGATAAAATAATATTCAGATAAAGATATTTTGGCAATAATGAAGAAATAATAATAATATATTTAAATGTATAATAATTATTAACAAAATGTCAAATAAAATTTTATGGATACAAATATTAAATAAAAATCACAAATATATTTAAACAAAATAAGTTAAAAATTTATTGTTAACTATAATTATAATAATAACAATAATTGTTTTATTAGAAAATTACATATTTTTATTTCGGTTATCACTTAAATTTAAACTTAAAACTTACTAAAAATTGTTTTCACTTTTTCCCAACAAAACTAATCTAACAAATCATTTGAAGCAAAATCTTTCAAATTTATATCTTTTTTATTTCTGTGGACACACTATATCYTCACGTCTATTGAAGAGATGAAAGGAAAGGGAGAGTTAAGTAAAATAATAATAGTTATAAAAAATCAGTTGTTTTTTATTATTATTATATGTGTGCTGTGAAACCACTTTTTTTCTATGTGTTATAGTTTTGATAGTATTGTTTCAAATTGATGAAAGGGGAGGGCATACTGTATATACAGTATATATATCATCTATTATCATAATACATACTAAAAAGTACTGTTTGTGATGGTTAGGGCATAGTTATAGTCTAATAGGAACGTCACTTTCTATAAGAGCACAGGGAGTCTTTCTATCTCTCTCTCTCTCTCTCTCTCTCTCTCTCTCTCTCTCTCTCTAAAAGTGAGAGTATAGTGTAATTTAAAGTAATACTATAGAGAAAAAAAAWTTTAAATWGAATAATGAATTACTGGTTTATTACTGTATTGTTGAGTATGTATGTGTTTGGCACAGAATTTCTCTCTCATTCTCTTATTGAGGAACAGTACCTATGAGGAGGACAGTTGGCTTATTTAGTAGTGAGTGAGTGAGAAAAAATATGTAACAGTTTTTTTTTGGTTGCCTTTAATTGTTTAGTTAATGCCTGTATTGTAAGTGATTTTTTTATTGTGTGTGTGTGTGTGTGTGTGTGTGTGTGTGTGTGTGTGTAGTCAATGGTTGCCAAACGTGATCAAAAAAAATGATGTGTTTAACAATTTTCACTTCAATTTTTTGCATACATTTTCCCATTACGTAAGATATTTAMAGTAAATATATTGTATTTATAAATATCTATCCATCTCTTCCTTAAATTGTATTCAGTAATAATAATAATAATAATAAAATAATTTAAATAAAAACTTATTAGTTTTTTTCTAATTTTAAAAATATATACTCAATCAATGAAGGCGTGAATTGAAGTGACTGTTAACAAAAATATAAGAGAGAGAGAGAGAGAGAGAGAGAGAGAGAGAGARAGAGAGAGAGAGAGARAAAACAATTGAGAAAACTTATGTATAGATTGCCTAAAAACAAAACAAAACCAGAAACAGATAAAAACAGTTTTTGCATAAAAATATTTATATCAATAGTTGTTGTTATAAAAAAAATCCAAAAAAAACTGTTAAAACAAAAGCCACTTTAGATTTGAATTTAATTTTTTTGAATATTTATTTAATAGAAAATATATTCCTATTATATATTGTATATCAGCTCTTAATTGTCATTAGAAGTAATCAAAGCTATAAAAATGTATGAATTAATTTTAATTTATATTAATTTTTTTATTATTATTATCAATTCATATGATAATCAAATTTTAATTATACAAATTTTTTGTTACATAAAAAATATAAAAACAAGAAAAATGCACTCAAAAAGATCTGAGTATCAATTAATGTCAAAAATTAACTAATTTTTTGGTTGGCGTTGAAAGTCATGAAATTTTCTTATTATTGACATTTTTTGTTGTTACTAGTATTAAGCAATAGATTTRTTGTATTGTATGTATGTTTTTATATAGACATATAATTTTTTGTTAATAAAATAATTGATGACTTTATCTGATGAAACACATACTTTAAAATAAAAAGCATTTTTTCTATGTTTGTATTGAAGTATTTTAATAATAATGTTTGACATCAATTGTTTTTGTGCGTTAATTATATTTTTTGATTAAATACTATTTGTTTAACATGCAAACAAAAAAAATATTGTAAATTTTTGATATATCATATAATGTATACAACAAATATTATGTATGTATTTATATTGAATTCATTTCAATACCAATTTAGTGAAACTGAAAAAATAAAAATATTTTTATAAATGGTTTGTTAATTTTTTTAATTATAGTTTTTTTTAAAAAAATATAATATAATTTCTATTAAATTGCTATCACGAATTATGTATAGGCATTGCAAACCACTCACATAACTAAGCAATTATCGGCCCTATCCTTGTAGAGTAAAACAGTATTTAATTATAATATAACTAAATGGCTAACAATTAGCAGCAAACAGTTTTTTTTATAAAAAAAACAATTATATTGAATATTAAGTTTGTTATACTATGAGTTTGTTTTCTATGAAATTGTTTGAAATAAAACAATTATATTGAATAGGTAAATGTAAATATAGTTATTGGGTCATAAAAATTGCCCAAAAATTATTTTTAATATATACGATATGTACATTATTACCATATGATGCCATAGTTTTTTTTAATTGTATTGTACTTGAATTGAATAGATTTTGAAATAACTAATATTAATTTATAATACAAAATTATATTAAACAAACTCATATATAATATACTGTTATAGAGTATAAAGTAATGGTTGATTGATTTTGTTATATTATAATTTTTTKATTATCTTCTAAAGTCGTAAATGTTAAGTCAATATTAATAAATTGAATCATTTATTTTATTTTTAATTAAATTACAAATAAATTAGAAATACATTACTCTATACAGTATAATATAATCCATACGTGATTTCAATAATCAATAGTTTCAATGTTTTATTATTGCATTCAAAAAGCTATCTTTTAAAAAACACTATTAGTATTAGTATTATTTTGTTATGAAGTTTATTATTATATGATTTATTGTATATTTACTATAATTTTCTAACTCTTTTGTTATTCATTGTTAGTATTATTATTTGGGAGAAAAAATTATTGTATTTTTTTAATGATAATTGAAAGTTATGATTACAGAAAAAAGTTATTATATTTGATAAAAATATGTTATTATTTTATAGCCCTGTCATTRAATTTAGGGTAAACTCGTCTCTCTCTCTCTCTCTCTCTCTCTCTCTCTCTCTCTCTGTATTTTTTGACAAATAAAGTAATAATTTGATGAACATATTCATAATAAAATTTTTTTAAAAAATTGTTTATATTATTTTAAATAAATATGTGTTTGCCTTTCAATGCATTTCAACTATAGTTTATAATATTTGCTAAATTTGTTTAAACAATTGATTTCAAAATGATTTGATAGCCATTGATATGATTTTGTTTTCTTTTATTATGTTATTTTTTAAAATTTTGTTTTGTTGCGAATAAAATGTATAATAAATTTTATTAACACATCTGATAATTGTTTGTCTGATATTATCATTAATTTTTTTTCGTTTTGTTTATTGAGTTAACATTTTCAATAAAATTTTATTAAAAATATTGTATTTTCTATTGTCTATTTATATATATATATATATATTGAAAATATTGAAAATTGTAAATAAAAGTTAAATAATTTTTTTAWWAAATATATTGAATCATAAAATTTAATGGTTTAAAAAAACTTTGAATTGTAATATCAATGAACAGTATTGTGTATATTAYTTTCAATTTCAATAACTTTAAAAAAAACAGTAATGACYAAAACTTTTGATATAATTTATCAGATCATTGCATTATATAAACCATATAAACGTCTAATAAGATTACATAATATAAGTTTTATATTTGATGGGTAACTATAACTGTTTGATACGGACAGTTAGATTAGTTAGACCCTTGATAGCCGGTTCGTGCAACTTATGAGGTTTGCCCACTAAATGAGATGTGCAATGATAGAGATAATAGTAAAAAATGTATATAAATGTATTGAAAACAATGAAAAATGATTTTTTCAAACAAACACATGACTTAGTGTGTATGTATGTGTTTATGTGTGTGTGTGTGTGTGTGTGTGTGTGTGTGTGTGTGTGTGTGTGTGTTTGTATGTGTGAATAACAATTATATAAARAGATAGTTATGTATAAGTTTATTCAAAAAGTAAAATTTATTTTTTAAATTTTTAAATGGATGAATGAGAGAGAGAGAGAGAGAGAGAGAGAGAGAGAGAGAGAGAGAGAGAGAGCACTTATATTAAAACCAGATCTCTCTCACTCTCTCGTGAAGTGTTTGGGCGGCAATAAAGGACTCACATATTATTATGAAAGATAATGTTATGGAAGATCAGGTGAAAAAAATGATTATACGGAAACACTCGGCAGAAAATAGGATTACCATTTTGACAGCACAGGTAGATCATTGCAAACATACATAACCTCTATTCTCTAACAAATAAAAAAAACATATTACACTCGGTATTGTTGTCCGATAGTATTATTATAATTTAATTGCTTCTCATGTCTTAAGTATTTATATTATGATATTATTTAAAACATTAATACCTATCTTTTATTAACCGAAAAAAATTATATAATATATGTTTTTTGAATTCATAAAAAATTATTTGTTTGCATGAAATGTGTTTAAACAGTAAACATTAATACCCGTATTGTAAGTTAGTTAAATATATATATATATAATAATCATATATTTTTTAATTATGAAATCACTGATAAAACAATACAACACATAATATTTGTATTTGTATTCAATATAATAAAATATTAATATTTTTAATTTTTTTTATATTTCTTATTATTCATATACAGTAAATATATTTTATTATTATTTAAAATTTCATATAAAAAATAATAAAGTTATTTTTATAATCTTATAATAACAGAAAAATTTTAGTGATTGATTTTATTTGTTATGTTGTATGTATTAAAAAAATTGTAAAATTAAATTATTATTTATATTAAAAATATAGGATTATTTATATATATATAAGCAAACAACAATATATTTAAATACTATATGGATCTTATCGCCATAGGATAGCTTTATAGATAACTTTATATTATTTTTATTTTTAACTTCAATACAATTGCCGACTAAATAATAATAAATTTTTTAAATAATAAAAAATATATATTATTTGCTTAAAAGTATTCTTCTTATAAATRTCAGTAAAAAATAATTTTTTTCGAAAATATAAATAAAATGCAATTTTTTATCCAATAAACTGATTTAAAAATCATTTTTTTAATACACTTTTATTTAAAAAATACATATTTTTTGTATCTATAGATTCACTACTTTTTTTATTGTTGTTAAATCTTTCTTTAACTCTCTTATCAGACAATTTTTTTTAATTATGTAAATCTTATAAAAAAAATTTTGCATTTAATGAAAAAAATGACACTAATATTGCGGAAATTTATTGTATACTAAAGTATAAAAAAATATTTGAAAACATTCATAAAAGTTGTAACTTTTTTTACACTATTTTTTAYATAAATATGTTAACATGGTAAAAAATTAGAAAAATTAKTTTTTTTATTAAATTGCATTTATAATAATWATTATTATTAATATTTAACTGTTTGTATTTATACAATTGAAATCAAATGTCATATTTTTAAACAAATAATTATAATGTAATTGTAATGTAATGTAATGTAATGTAATATAATATGATAATTAAAAATAAAACAATAATTGTTCTCAAAACTATTTACTTACATTTTTTTAATTAAATTATGTTATATTGATTTTTAATAAACACAAATAATAATACATTTTATAAGTATTAATGTAATAGGAAATTATCATATAGTACAATAGTTATTGATAATTATTTTATACAAAAATTAATATTTTAATTAATAATTGAGACATGAAAACTTTAATATATAAAATAGACAGTATTTATATTACAATTATATAACATAGAAATAAATTAAATCATTTAAGTTATAATAATATTCAGATATAATAAATACGTATATCAGTTATAATTCAGTAAAACTTTGTTATTTGATATATTGATTATCTAATAATTTAATTATTACTTTAACTTTAATTTTAAATTGAATAATATTTAATAAAGAAAACTTATTTAATTATTATTATTATTATATTAATATTCAAAACTTTCACCTTATATTATAAATTACTGTATGTATTTTACTGTATTTTAATGATTGAATAATTATATTAATAATAATTATAATTTATAAATATCAATATCAAAACTATTAATTTATTAAATAGTATTTAATAATATTTTTATTACAGTATTCGTATATTAATTTGTGTGAGATATGAGTAAATATACTGTAAATAGTAATATAATATCATCAAGGACAATTGTTAAATATTATCAGTGAAACTATTGACAATTATTAAAWTGCTTATAATATTAATAATCATTATTATTAAAATAATATTTAAATTATCAATGTCTTTGTTAGTGTGTGTGTGTGTGTGTGTGTGTGTGTGTGTGTGTGTGTGTGTGTGTGTGTGTGTGTGTGTGTGTGTGTGTGTGTGTGTTTGTGTGTRTGTCTAAGTGTAAAGTATCATATAATCAAAAATCATTATTAACTTAAATAATTATGTTTCTATTAATATCATATCATATTTAATGGCAAACTTTGAACTCTTGGATTGAAACATATTGAAAGAGAGAGAGAGAGAGAGAGAGAGAGAGACGGAAAGTTGTTTAAACATTAAATATGATACAGTATTATAGTTAATAACTAATATAATTTATATATGAAAAATATAAAAACTTCATTTAAGTGTTGACTGACTCAATGAATCTTTTTTATAATTATTGAAACAAAACGACATAATAATAATAAAGTTATTAAACTTTATATATATATATTTTTAAATTTTGTTTTATACACTCATTTTGGTTAATATGTGTTAAAACCAACCATACAATCAATGTCTGACTACGACTGTCGTGTCTTCGAGAATCGGGTATACGATGAGCTCAGTTGTGCCATTTGTAAGACACCGATGGACGACCCGGTGCTTACCAAATGTGATCATCTGTTTTGTCGTCAGTGTATCGGCGAATGGCTTAGCCGTAACAACAACTGTCCCATCGATCGACGCAAACTAGTGTTGGACGACACTCATCCGGCACCGCGTGTTGTCCGCAACCTATTGGATCAGTTGCGTATGCGCTGCTACTTCAGCGGCGACGGCTGTCCACTAATATTACCGATAAATGACTATACTAGACACGTGGATGAGTGTGCCTATAATCCGGGCGCTGAACTTCGGTGTCAAATGTGTGGTCAATTGATGACCCGTAAGGCTCTCCGTCAACACAAGTGCTGGTTGAATGTGACCCGAGATATGGCCGAACAGAAACAGTCGATTGACTTATTGAGACAAACCAATGGTTTCCTATTGTTCATACTTTTGATGATATTTTTATATTATTGGTGTCCACTTCTATTGTTTGTTTATATAATAATTTCAATTTTTGTTTAATTGAATTTATTATATTTAATAATTTTATATAATGTTAATTATAATTGATAAATTTTTTTTTGAAATTGTTAATATTATTAAATTTAAATATTATTGTATTAAATTTAATATTAATCTATGTGTTTATTTAAATTAAATTTATAGTAAAATTTTAATATAATAGACTGGTATTATCTTATATAATTTAATATCTATAAATAATAATAATAGTTGTAAATAAAAATATTAATATTGTAAATTAAATTGTATTAAATGCTTAATTAAATTAATATTTATTAAATTATAATTTTAAAAATTAGTTGTTTAAAATTATTTCATAAAAATTAAAATATTTTTTCAATAAAGGAATTGTACTGTATATACAGTAATAACAATAAAATATAATACAATAATACTGCTGTAGTTGAATAGTTTTACATTACAATTACAAATATATTTTTTTATTTAATAAATTTTTATCATTTAAAAAAAGTTAATTTCTATAAGAATTATTTACAAAATACTTAATAATTTTTTGTTATACATTTAATTAGGAACAAATTAAACATTATAAATCACAGCAAAATAGATGTATAAAATAAATTACTAATAATTAACATTTAAAAAATATAACATATGTATAGAGAGTTGACACACTTTTTTTGATAAAAAAACAAAATTCATAAGAAATAGATATCTCTATACTATTATTATTTTATTAATTATATTTTATTTTTTCGAGAAAAAAACATAATTTTTCACTTTGCACTTAACCTTATAATCTTATTTAAAAGCAATATAGTAGTATTAGCAATAAAATAATGATGATATTAATAATAATACTAATACTTATTATTATTAATACAATTATAATAATAATGTAATACATGTGCGATGAGTTTTTGCCTAAATATGTTTTTTACATTACATTAAAAAATCTGAATCAGAGATATAAAGAGATAAAAAAACATATAATATTTTTTTTACTTACAAAAAATTCAATATAACATTACTATACATTCATTTATATAGGTATTGTTATTGCTATTAACAAAACTATTAGTAAAATAATTATTAAGGTAACTATTTAAATGACTTATTGTTTTTTATATAAAATATTTATATTAATGTTTTGACTGTTGTTTAATTCAATATTTAATATAATAATAATAATAAACAAATACTAATTAAATTTTATAATTGTTGTCAAAATAACCAATAAATAAAACATAAAATGACTAAAATTATTAAAAAAAATTGTATATATAATAATAGTAATAAAATTTGTTGTTTTATCAATTTAATCAATAGTATATTTGATATCAATTTTTTCTTGAAAATCCTATAAAAATTAATTAAGTCTTGTTTTGCTTTACTTTTTTTTTAAAAATATATATATATATTATTAATAATACATGTAATAACTTTGTAATGACTGTTTATTTAACTCTAAAATGCTTGTAATAAAAAAATATATAATAATTTTAGTTTAGTAGATAATAAAATAAGTGACACAACAATTTTATAATTATTTTTTTACTCCTTACATATAGARGATATAATTATGTTAATCTATATATATATATATATATTTATAAATAATGTAATATAAAGTTATTATTATTTTTGAAAATAATATGTATAGTTATTTAATAATTAATAAGTTACAATATTATTCTATGGTAAGTATATACAGTACTTAATAATTATAAACAATAGATGAAAAATATAAAACAAAATTGCAATTTTATTCAATAATTTGTTAATATCTAAATTTTAATGCTATTTAAGATATTTTTGTATATAAACTTTAAGTAACACACAAAATGACATACAATTCACTATAGAAGCAAATAATGATAAGAATAATAATTTTTTTGGCAAACTTAACATGATTTGCATATTACATATCTCTCTCTCTCTCTCTCTCTCTCTCTCTCTCTCTCTCTCTCTATTTGGTTGTTTCAATAAATTGTCATCTCATAGGTCCCAAAAAATTATTTGTAATATTTTTTTTGTGTTTTAAAGAAATCAATATAAATTTGCAAAATCATAATTAAAAGGAAATTACTGGAACTGGTTATTAGCGTATTTAAGCACCGGTAACACCTTTAAAAATATTATAATTATTTCAAGTGTTGGTATGTTAGAGGTGATGGTAGTTATAAATGCAATGGTGGYGGCGGTGGTAGTGGAGGTGTTGGGATTAGATTGTTAGTTATTATTACTGTATATAATGATAATAAGTTGTTAATTTTATTATCATTATTATTGTTGTTGTGTTGTTAATGTGATATCTTAATAGTACAAAAAAAATATAATAAATGATAATATAATACAATCTATTATATAAATTTATACTGTATTATAAACTATATCATTGCTCTATTGTTAATTGTAATAAAAAATTTTATATTATAGTATATTGAAGGCCCGAAAAAATTATTTTCAAATGCTATCAATTCATAAAACACTTTGATTTTGAATATGTGTTTATGAATTGTATTGCATTTGAAAATAAATTTAATACACAGTTTGGTCAGCAAATAATCTTTTTTATTTACTTAAATAATAATAATTTTAATAATAGACTAGAATTTTTGTTTTATTGTAATATTTATACAATAGTTTTTCTCATGTATGTAAAATTTGAAATATTAAAATTAAAAAAAAATCATAAATAAATTATTATTTAAAAAAATTATTGTTTATTATTATAATTAAAAATAATTTTTAATTAATCTTGAATAAGTAACCTAGAACAACAGTAATAATAATAATAATAAATAAAAAATTACTAATTAGTAAGTTTTAGTTTTTCAAGTTTTTCAAATCCATAACCACTTTCAGGTACGGACTGTCAATCGATTCCGTGTTGTTTTCCGATCGAAACAATTTTTCTTTGAACTCATTGACCAGATTCTGGTCGACAGCACACTTGCATTTAGTACAGTATACTACCATCGATGGTGACTTAGTAGAGAAGGACAGGTCCAGCAACTGTTTAAGACACCGGCGATGATAGATGTGTCGACAGCCGAGCAGTTCCGTGTCGTCCAACGGCTGTATCGGATGCCAACATAGACTACATTGTAAACCATTGTTACTCCTATAGACTTCTGGCGTTTCTTCGATCGAATGATCCTTTGATGACGACCYCTTCAATGAGGACGACGCCGATGTCGACAACTTTTTGTGACTTTTCTGGTACTCAATGTCCGAATCACTAGATGTGCAATCACTGGATGACGAGGAACTGGTGTTCAAACAGCAACTATCGTGTCGGTTACGGTAGTCATTGATATTACAGTGACGAACATGACATTCRTGTCTATCTCCTCTTCCATGTTCTTCTACATGTCCTCTTCCGCCATATCGACGGTGACTACTATTGTTGTTGTTGTGGTGATGATGTCTATTCATTATCTTAAAAGATTTGTTTSTAAATTGTTATTTGAATGAATGATAATAATGAGATAATGATATCACTACTTAATTCATATATATATATATATTTATTTTATTGTTAAACTTTATCTATTATTTGTTGCTAAAATTATTTTCTTTATATATATTGATAATAATTGTATCGCATTTGATGACTAATATTAATAAATATTTATAATTATTTTTGTTACCAACTATACAAAAATTCAATAGAAATTTACTTATATTAATATTTATGATATTTTTTTGCCGATAGACAATGCAATAGTATAATATTTTTTATATAGAGTACGGTATTTTGTAATAATAATAATTATTATTAATATTATTATAGTGTAAACACAGTGACTTTAACTCTAATGATTAGCAAGCAGATTTTTGTTACGTACAAAAAATATATGTACCGGTATTATACATTAAGTAAAGTACGGTATGTTTAGGTAGAAAACTTATATATATATATTAATATATATCTATTTATTTAGTGTTGTGATAATTACTTACCATTTTCATTGAAAATTTCTCAACTAAATATTTATGCTAATATATTTAGCAAATTAGATAATATCTATTGAGTAAATTTACTCATTAATTTACATGGAAATATTCTAGGAATTTTAAAAAAAAATAATATTACGGTAATTATTAAAATTATTATAAGTATTAATTTCTAATATTAAACAAGTTTTGTACTACTAATTCAAATGTCATTTATATCAAATTGAATAGTTATAACTTATTATATTTTATTTATTTTATGTTTCAATTTATATTTATTATTGAAATTTTTTAAAATATATTATTTATTATTATAATTGTGCATAAAAAACAAAATTTTATATTCAATAAAAATCACAATTTGTTTTTAAAAATATTTATGAATTGTATTAATTTTATGTTAACAGTAATAAAATAACAGTATATTTTATTTTTTTATTAAAATATACATAAATATGTAATAAATTTCTTATGATACAGATTTTATAATAATTAAAATCTATGTTTAACATGTAATTAAAAAATTATTACAACATTTTAACAATAAGTAGGGTAATCAAAATATTAAGTTAAAATGAGTTGTCAATAATTTAATACAATACAGTTTTAACGATATAAAACAAAAATCGCAACTTAATGTTATTATTTAATGGTATAATTAATGTGAATAATGATAATTATTTTATGATATTAAATATTATTAAATATTGATATATTTATTATGAGTATATCATTAAACAATAGTCAAACTAATTAATATTATGGTAAGTAAATTAGATCTAATTTATATATTAAATCACATGCAAATATACAAATAAAAAAATAAGTAAATAATGAGTAACTAATTATTAAAATAGTTGATAAACAAAAAATAATAATTTTTACAAAATAAAGAAAATTACTTATATAGTAATTATAACTAAATATACTGTACATCATCAACAACAACAACAAACTTATAATCCACTCGAAGTATGTTTTAGTTGTCGTTTATGTTGATTGAGTTTAGCGTAAGTATCGGTCTTAAAGTTGCAGCCATTCCAGTGACAGGTAAACCGTTTTTCCAGTTCCTTATGTTGACGTATATGTGCCTGAAGTTTGGCGTTTGTCTTAAAATAGCGCCGACAGTCGGCATAATCACAGCCAAAACGTTTGACAATACTGTGCGCCTGTCGTTGATGGACGACCAGAAACGACATAGTTTTGAATCGTTTCCTACAGCCGCTAACATCGCACCGATGGGTAGTGTTCTTCGCCGATATTGTCGAGTCGTCGCCGTCACCGCCGCTCGATCTCTTTGTCTGTGATTTTTTCGCCACAGTTTTGATTGTTTCGCTCGGTTTCGGAAGACTAATGCCGTGCGTCTGTAGTCTATGACTGTCGAGTCGAACCTTATTAATGAAAATCTCTTTACAGTCACTGATATGACACCGAAACACTTTTGGCTTCTTTGCCTGTGTTGTCATCAGATTTTTATGAACAAGTTTTTCGTGTTGTCTGACACTGGCTTCGCTGGCAAACACTTTGCCGCAGCCGTTGACATTGCATCGCAACTTCTTTTTGGTCATCGAATGACTACTTTTGTGCAAAATAAACGAGTATTTGGCAGTAGTTTTAAAGTCACACAAATCGCAGACAAACTCATCCGACTTTTTCTGTCCAATATTCTTGACATTAACTGTTTTAGTCGTCGTCTTTACTGACTTCGCATTCGGACCATTAGTTCCCGAATGCATCCGTTTCTTGTGAAGTAAGATATTATTAGACGACATCGTCTTAAATGAACATAAATTACACTCAAACGACTTGATCTTATGCTCGGCAGCCAAATGTTTGTCTAAATAGTGTTTCGCATAAAATCGTTGATCACATTTGTCACACAAAAACGGTTTGGTCTTATTGTGTACCCGATTGACGTGCGCTTCAAGAAACGGTTGTCGATTGAATTGTTGCGAACAYTTATTGCATTTATAGATCTTCTTGTTTTTGGTTGTTTCCAGTTTTTCGTTCAGATTGTTTGCATAGCTCTGGTGCAACATCTCTGACATTAGCCGAAAGTCTGGATTTACTTCATCATCGCCGCCACCAAACACTCGCATACTCTTCACTAAACTTCGTGGACTTAACTTAGCTGTAAATACAATCAGAAATAAATTGTGTTTAAAAATCAGTTAAAATTTGAATAAATAAACAAARTATTACTTAAAACTGGCGATAACTTGTATGGACTTGACTTAACGGGACTCGTGTATGGACTCCATGACGGACTCATTGATACATCTTTTAGAAGATAAAAAAACAACTTTAATGACTAAAACGATCGTTTCGATTGTCTAAATACCTGATCTTCGGACGTCTGGTTTGATATCATTTTGMACCAACTTTTCTTCTTCTTCTTCTTCATCTTCATTAATATTATTAGCTTTAAAGCCGTGACTTTGTTCCAAATGTTCGACAAACAGGTCTTGTGTTTCGCAGATATGATGACATTCGTGACAGACAAAAGACTGGCAGCTCTTATGGACGCTATTTATATGGATCTCTAAGTCTATATCAGTGGTGAACAATTGCTGGCACTCTTGGCACTGATAGGAACAGTCGGCCATATCGATGGTGGGCACCACTGTTTCGCGTAGGACGGGCTCATAAAACGGATGATCAATAYTAGAGTCTAATTAAAAATAAATGACCAGAAAAAGACATCAGTGATCGGGTGTCCAAAACAATCAAATAAAAAAAGTTTTACCGTTGCTGGCCTTCTGTCGCTGATACTCGACGGTCATAGTCTTGAGTTTGTCCATGAGATCGTCATCGTGCGGACAGTTGCAGTTCACTGTCAGACCCAACAGATGATTGATGATCTGGTCGGCCAATTGGCGTAGTTGTTGTTCGTGTACCAGATTGGCCACCAGAGACCGATTTTCGCGGTACAGTTCGTCAAACACGTCGTTGGCCAGTACTGAACACATGTTTGGATTATTGTTATGAACCGAACCAGTGATGGTTACTGTTGTTGTTGTTGTTGTTGGATCAGCTTATGATTAGTTGATATAACTTATGGTTAAATTTTATGATTAATTTAAGTCATGTGTCATATCTATTAAGTAATTGTTGTTTCCATAGAATTACTATATAAACAATAAATACAATATTTTAGTTTCAAAACAAAACACGTGATCAAAACAATAGTGTTAATTGATTGTCATTTTAGGCGCACTTTTTCATAAATACATTATAAAACCAATCACTTTACTACTGGTTGTATGGTTTTTACTGTCAAACTTATTGTGCAGTTTTTTAGCGCAAAAAATATTTTTGATAACTTTTTTTTAATACTATATTATTATTATTACAGTGTTTTATGTAATGTATAACTATTATAATAACTTTTTTTTAATTAATTAAATTAATTAATACATATACTTTTTATAAACATATCTAAATAATCAATAGATTTATATGTAAAATCTTTTTTATAGATTTAATATCCTGTATGTATGTACTATTGTAAAAAAAACAATTACCGGTACAGGTATTTATATAAAAAAAATTGTTTCTACTAAAAAAAATCATTAGGGTGTTTTTATGTAAATTTTTATAAACTCATTTGTCAATTAAAAATAAATTAAATGATACAAATAATAATAATAATGAGTATTAACTTATTTGTATAGTCACACAAAAAATTGTTAGTTGTTTAAAAAAAGTATTATATAACTATTATTTACCGGTCATTAGATAATTAATTTACAAAATCTATGTCAATACATTATAAATATAGTTTGAATAAATATGTGAAATTGTATCCTACAATTTGTAGATCAATTACCGTAATGCACTGTAAGGTAATACTACTAATACTATTACGGTATTACAACTACCTGTGCAATCAGTGTGAGCGGCACCTGAAAACCGATTATCGGTACAGTACCGGTAGATGTAAAATACCCTGCTATTATAATGTCAGATATTTCATAATAAATTAAATTACCGATAGTGGTAACTAAATAATAAATAGTAATATTAGTTAAACAAAATTAAACAATAAATTAATTAATTAGAAACAAATCATTTCATTTATATGACGCTGTGTTTAGTATCCGATTGATAATTATTATCATCAGTGGTCAGTGGTCGCAGTCTCCGCCAATTCAGCGGTGACTTCAGTACCCGATGTGAACCAAACCGGTAACAATCCATTGATTGGCTGTTTAGCGCTTCGAACGCAATTTCGGTCGCGTTTCCTGAAGTACACCTTATAAGTGTCCAAATCTTCCGCATCTTTCATCAGTTCCTTAATATAGTTAAGTATACGATTAACAAAATCATACGCCTCGTCGCAATTCCAGCGAAAACGCGGCAAATCGGGAATCTCGCGGACGGCCATCTTATCGATTTGCTTCAGTACGTTATTGTTGTCTTGAATACCGACCAGAATATAGTCAATGTCAGCGACCACACAACCCGCCCACCAATTCAATAATTTTTGACCGAAAGCCGTACTCTTTGAGCACTTAATATCGTAATAGTTGTCCTCTTCGTCGATGGCATCGATTTCGGACATCAGTAACAATCTATGAACGCCTGGATATTACCGTAAAAAGATTATATGAATTACAAATAGTTTTATTGATTGCCACTAAAAAAAAACAAATACCTATATTTGTTTCGTAACACTTGAAGTACTTTTCATACTCATTGATGGCTGTATTGATGGCTTGTTTGTCACCATTGGTAATGATTTGAGTGACTTTTGTGGCCAAATAAGTAATATTATTTGTAAAACTTTTGTTATCCACCGGTGATCCCAAATTGTCGCTAAACTCGTCTCTACGAGATTTATATCGACCACCAAAACGGTTGTTGTCTTCATCGAAACGGATTTTATTCATATAAATCGTATTCTTATATTTGGCTATCAATAGAGTCCAATCTTCGATATGATTCGGTGTCATCAGCATTGAAGTGTAGAGACCGCCGAACGATACAAACTCTGGCAATTGATTTGCCGGTCGATTCTCAAGATATTGCGACCGACGGATCCACTGAAGAAAGTATTTCCATTTTAATTGTTTGTATGACTTGTAGTCAACGATTAGTGAAGAGTTCTCGAAACCTGAAGACAAATGAGGGATAAAGTGGTAATTCAACCAAAATAAACAATAATTTCAATATCGGTGGACACTAACCATCCATTAGATTGACATTTCGTTTGGCAATCTGTTCCATATCGGTGTCCAATTGGATAAGATTTGGTCGGCAATTATTGTCATCGTAGCGCTGTTGGCCATCGATACGAAAGGCGCCGACAAATCTTTGATCGGCAAAACATTTGTCAAACGACTCGCCGGTGTCGACGGCATAGCGGTCGCGAACGTATAGCACTTTCGGTCGTTCCGCTGACTGACCATTAATCGTGATATTCGGGTCGCCGCCGGCGGCGACGGCAGAAGAATCGGACAAATTGACTAACTTATAACCCGTTTGACGATTGGCGGCATTGGCAACATCGCCATCAATGGCCACAACTGATGCCATTGTAGTTGTGACCACATTTTCTTTGCCATCTTTGCCGAAATCCCAGATTTCGGTTTTACTACTACTACTACTACTGGCCATTGCCGAGTCATCATTGCCAGTATCCATGGCATGCATTTTGTCGACAAATTTTTCTTTATTCCTCGACTTGTAAGCGCTTACCGTTTGTGGCCGGCAGTGGTCAACACGTGTTGTTTGAGTGTTAACCGAAAGTTTGAAAAAATAAAAAATTTAAATTAAAAAAAACTTTCAATCGTTACGTAATCACTGTTCATATATGACGTAAAAAGTCTTATTAATTATTAATAAAAACCAAATAACTGTTTGAAAATTTTTATATTACCGGTAAATAAAAAACTAGACTTTACTACCCGATAGGGTACCGTAAAATCGTGTTTTATTTCTCATATGGAATTAAAAAAAATAAAAAATGACATTTTGATATGGTAAAAAACTTGCATTTATTTACCACACCTGATAATAATTAAAAACTAAATTATTATACATAGTAAAAAAACTATTTTTTCATATGGGAGAAAACTCGCATTATTTCCCATGACTTAGACATCCATATGGGAATTTAAACACAATATAACGGTAATAGATATATCTGTATACTTTAATTGTCTAATTTTTTATCTTTATTTAAAAAAAAACTTATTTAAACTAACCTTGTCAAAGCTATATAAATATATCTTTCAAATTCGGTTTCGGTTTATACAATTATCACTCATACACTGAAAATGCATACATGTCTAGTCTATACAGAATAAATTTATTGTACAGTATTTAATATCGCATTTAATAAAGTTTATAATATTTATAATACATTAGATTTTTTAAATAAATTAATTTTAGTTAATTATTAATAATAACAGTATATTTTTTTAGTAACTTTAGATAAATTTATTAAAAAATTTATTTATACAATTAAAATATATTTATATATATTAAATGTATTGATATAAATTAAAATAATATATTAATAAAAAAAATAAATATAAATTATTAGATAAACTATACATTGCTTTTGATTAGTTTCTGTTTGTCGGCTGCCGTCGCCGTACCGACGGAAGGCACGGTGGCCACTGACTGGTTTTCATGCAAGCGTTTCATCTCTAGCTGTTTGATACGGGTATAGGCGGCCGACCCGAAGAGTACCAGCAGATTACTGAACCACCAGAGCGTCGACTTGTGATCGGAGTACCAGACAGTGGCCAACACAGTCTGCGCGCAGGCTTTAGCCGTACCGGAGATGTTGTGCGTCAACGGAGACGTAACTTTGATCTGCAGTCCGGTAACGTAGCCGATGGCAAACCCGAACACACCGGACAGTGTCATGAGATTCCAGAAGTTAACGTCCCACAAGTGGCCAAAGTTGGCCAATTCGCTGAATTCACCGGTAACTATCATCAACGGAAGAAATAGCAGACAGGCGTTGAGATTGTTATAGAAAGTCAACGACCAGATGCTGTTGTTGACCGCCGGCAATACGTCTTTAGTGAAGATACTGTTTAACGATACGAACAACGAGGCCAACACACCGTAGACCACACCCGATATGGACAACGAGCCGCCAGTACTTTCCTGGTCGACGCCAAGAAAAAAGCCAAATATAATGACCAGACAACAGGTGATGGCCGACACCGATGTCGACTGTTTGAGTATCACATATGTGAGAGCAACGTTGAATACAGTGGTCAACGAACGGCCGACAAAATAAAAGGCAACGCCGACGTACTTAAGACACAGATTGTTGAATGTAATCATCAATACAAACATCACCGACAATGGCAAGACTTGACGGGCGGTCGTCAGTCGAAAAGATAGTGCCGGCAGTTTGAATAGACTTGGATTGGTCCGAGACAGCATCGACATGACCAGTGTGATGGCCAGTGCGCACAGACACTGATAGAATGTGACAAAAAGCGGTGCATTGAGGCCAATGTCGGCGCCCGATAGCAGATGTTTGTTGATGAAGACCATCGATATGGATATCAGCCAATAGGCGGCCACCACTGCCACCACTTCGGCATATTTGGCTACCAGTGATCTGTCGGCGGTGACTGCCGACAATAGTGTCATCACTGGATTGAATGAATTTATTGGTTGTTATTATTGTTGTTGTTATTGTTGTCGATGACTATCACCGCATGTCTTCACTAATCTGTTTATTATTATTACTATTAAAAGGTATAGATTTGTTGACATATTATATAATCAATGGTAGAGCGCATGTGTCATATGATAAGGACAGTCTCGATAATGCTTTATAATAGGTAACAATCAAAACAATATTAACTTTATTAATGTCGTTATAATATCAGTAGTGTTTTGTTGAGTCCTTGAAATGTTTTATCATAGCTTATACTGTATAGTACTACTGAATATTCAATAAAAAAAAATCAATTTTAATGTCTTTAATTTCAATTATCTGGTCAACTATCAATTGAATACAAAAGTTATCAATGTAAAAGTTATAGATAATATTATGCTAAATAATATTGCAATTAATTATTTATTAGTTTATTATACAATTGGTCAGATAAGTGCCGCCGATTGGTCAAAAAAAATAATAATATAATAAAAATAAAATTAGTCGGCGGGTAATTATCTGGCCAATTATACAATTAATTAATAAATGATCAATTACAATATTATTTAGTTTAATATTAACTATAACTTTTACATTGGTCACTTTTGTAACCAATTGATAGTTGACCAGATAATAAAAATTAATATTTTCTCATATTTTTTTTAATTAAATATAATTTATTGAATTACATATTAATTTAAATTTAAATTTAAATTTTTATTAATTATTAATTTTGTATATATAATTTTATCATATTAAAAAAAACAAAAATTTACTAATATTTGTTTCAATATAAAAATAATGATTTAAATTTCAATATACACAATTTTCAATATATACATATAAATTGTATATATAAATTTATATATAGTTATATATATTTATATAAATCTCTTATATTTTTCATATAATAAAAATTCTACATTAGTTTTTTTTAATTGTCATTTAATAAAAAATTTTAATTAAACAAATATAATTAAATTATTGTTATTATGAAAACAAAATTAAATTGAAAGACATTTTGTTTTTTGACTTTTTCTTCAATTAGTAAAATACACAGAAAAATAAATTAGATATAAATTTAGATATAATGAAACAAATAAAGGTTTGTCTATGTATTGGCCGCTTTTCGCAACGGTTTTGTTACCGGAGTTACTGGACACGGGAGTTACCGAACTGTCATTGCCGACCATTTGGTTTTCTGACCGAACCCGAGAGTGGATACCAGTCTGTTGATCGTCGGCGGAGCTTTGGTCACCAATCTTTCCGTTGTTGTTGTGGTCTTTAAGCCGTGTATATGAATCGCATTTGAGAAATCGTTTGGCGGACGACCAGTTGCACGACTGGGGCTTCGGCGCCGCCAATATCTCTATCGTACAGTACTTGCCATCATTGAACAAAAACAATTCATGACTGGACGCAGTGGACAGTGTAAACGCCGCCCGAAAATTGATATGCAATACTTTTTGTACACCATATTTGGCCAGTTCGATGGCCACGTTGGTCACCAACGGTTTGGTAAATTCGGCGCCCAAATCGAACCGATAGCCGAATACTGTTTGGTCGGCGAACACAAACTTTGTCATACTGCCCAACGGATCAAAATAGGCGGCCATAATCTTACGGCCCATCATATCGCCGATTGTCTTGTTTTGCGAACCGATATACGTTCTGAGGCCTTTGTGCGGCATATATACCAATGTTCCCCAATCGATCTGATAGGGCCTGAAGTTTCTATACGTTAGAAAATGGGTATCATTTAAGTACAGACCGGTGCCTATAAACTGTGTGACCGATTCGTGCGCCAGTATGGTCACCGCCGACTCGATAACACCAGTAAACTCTGAATCAAACACCTGGGACTCAGGATACGGACCGACCAGTGTTTTGTCTAATAGCCAGACGTTTTGGTTGCGAAATATGGCAATCGAGCCGTTTTCTAGACGAGTGATCGACTCGATAACACCGTCGTCGCAGATGTCGCCGGAGGCCGCCTCACGAAACTGTGACGAACGAGGCTCGGGATTGTTATTATCGACATCAAAGGTGTCGACATCGTAGGCGGTGGCAGCTATGATCGCCACAATCATAACGGTAATGACCAACTGATGATTGGCCAAAAGATGATAATCATACATGTCTTACATCAACGATGGAAAATGTCAGAAATGTTAAGAAGTAATGGAAAAATAAGTGTAAATTTAAAAAACACGAAAATTAAGTACAAAAAGAAGAGACAACTGTCTGTTGAAAATTGAAAAGAATTTATTTAAAAAAATTATTTCAATTTTATTTAATTTTTGTTTTTTAAATTCTCGCACTTTTTTTAATTTTCAATACTATTTGTTTATTATACTTCTATACTATTATATATTGATAATTTTGAAATCGTATATATAATCTGATATTTATATCACATGCAAACAATTAATATGTAATATATTTTTTAAAAATTAATATAAACTTTTAATATATAAAATAATTTAGTAATTCAATTAGCATAACGCGTCCAACTAATAACTATTTTTTTTGTAAATAATTTTATTTACCGGTACATTACTGTACATATATTTTGTATTACCGTATTGTGATTTTAAATTTCTGTATATTTAGTATATTTAATATAAACTCATTTATTTACTTAAAATTGAAATGTAAAAAACTTAACATTTAAATAGTTTAGTAAATAATAATGTAAATAAGTTTAATACAAATAGACTATCAAATAAATTATAAATATTTACTGTATATGAAAAAACTTTTAAATGTTAAATATATTGAAATCATAGAAAATACTAGTATTAACCAAACAAATACAAAAAACAATAAATATTGAAAATTTTAGGATTTTTTCTAATTAATAAATTAATTTGATAATCAATTTTTTTTGGAACCGAATCATAATAGTTATAAAATGTTTCCAAAAAAAAAATCTGATTTACTTTTTTTGATCAATCAATTCATTATTATTTTTAAATATTTTTACATTTTTATTTTTATAATAATTATTATTATATTGAGTTTTATTTAATTAGATTTTATATAAGCAATAATTGTGTGATATTATATAATAAAAATAAAATTGATTTTTAATGTAAAAATCATTTTATATATCGTAAATTTTATTTTATATTATAATTATTTTATTATTTAGGAATAAAAATTAGCAATTTATAAGCATATAAATTTATTTTACTAAAATAAAAATATTCATAATTTTGTATACAAATTATTTTTCAAATATTAACACACTTTTATTATAGTATTTAAAAAAAATTAATTTTTAATCCCTCAAAAAATCAATTACTATAAAACTTTTGTTTCAAACCATTAACTAACTGTTTGTATTCAAACATTATTGAAATTTTCAATACTGTTTGTGTACTTACAGTGATTGCTATGAACTAAATGAATGAATTAATTTAAACATTGTTTGTTTGTTTTTTTGCACACATTATTGCTATTAATATAAATTTATATACATTGTGTACAGTATATCATACTTTTATTAATTTTATTTTAATGTTAAACTTGTCGTTGAAAAATATATACAGTATAATATACTGCAAATATTTATGTATCATACAAATTTAATATATTGCATATTTATATTAATTAAATTAAAATATATTACTTTATTACATTGCTATTATTATATTATTGTTTTTATTATAATATTATTATCTATTTTATACATTACATTATATTATATACTATACGTTAAATTTAGTCATTCATTGTATGTTAAAATTAATTATTTTTTTTTGTTATATAATAAATAATATAATTAAAGCAAATTATTGTATAAAATTTACTTATTTAGCAAATTTTGTTGTATATAATAAAATTTATTAAATATAAATTGTATGATAAATTAGATTTTATAACATAAAAGATGATAAAAAATAAAATTAAAATAAAACTACCGCTACTTGCAATTTATAATTAACAATAAAAATGGGTTTTTTTAAATTTTACATATAATAATATGTTAATGATTTATATATTTTTATATATTCTTTATAGTCAACTAAATTGTTATAATGTAATAACAAAATATTTTTCATTTATTTATCATATGAGTTGATTTACCGCCACAATAGATGCCCATCCATGCGATCCAACTGGCAAACCGACCAATATATTACTATATTTTTATAATATAAGTATATACAATATATACTTATACATAGTGTCTTATATATATATATATAATATAAGGATATATACAGTTTGTATGGCTTTGGTATACTGTATATATATAATAATATTGCAATTCACGTCACACTTAAAAATCGATATCATCACAAATATATACTACAATCCTATATAAAAAAAAGTATTGAGTTATTCACTTCACTTTCCCTCTCCTGATGTCTCACATCCCTTCCTATGCTTCATATGTCTCTCTCTTCTCTCTCTCTCTCTCTCTCTCTCTCTCTCTCTCTCTCTCTCTTCAACCATACCTTAATGTGAATGTGAGTGAGTGTGTGTGTGTTTGGCATCACATTCACAATATATTAAAATTGATGAAAACCTAAGCACCAGTGCTAGTACATAGACACCAACAACATTGGACATCACACACAACCATATACACTCACACACTAACTCACTCATACTCACACACACACTCACACACACACTCACTCACACACACACTCACTCACACACACACACACTCACTCACACACACACACACACACACACACACACACACACACACAATACAGTATACAGACATTGATAAACACCACATACTGTACAGTAGAGTGGTGTACAATACAGACACACATTTACCGTACAAATCAAACACTCACTTCAGATGCAATTTATGTGTTATATGTTTGCTATAAGTTTAATCAAAAACTAAAAAATACTCGACTATTATACTCTTATATTCAATGCTTAAATGCCATTCATAATAACTGACTATTATTTAAATATATATAATCATTATATTGTATTTCAATAATTTCCAAACAAAATTTTTATTCATTTATTCACTCATTCAAGTCAGTCATTTAATTTATTTCAATATATATATATTTTTTTTCATTTTTATGAATATTCTTAATGCTCTCTCACTTTTACAATATACATATATTTAATATATATAATGCAATACTTAATACCATATTTTAATACTACTAATACTAACTACTATTAATAGAGCTTATACTGTATATAATTATTTTATATTGTTGTTCAGTGAAAGCAATTAAAGAATATTCTGTTTGTATGAATATTCAGTATTGAAAATAAAGTATAGCTCTCTCTCTCTCTCTCTCACACTATGTTTTGTGCAAATATTCTGTGAATATAATAGAAAAAAATAATACAAAAAAACAAATTCAATTGAAATCCTAAAGTTTTTCTCTGCTGCCAATTGAAAGTTCAAATAGTATTCAAAGTATTTTGTTATTGTTGTGTTAGATATATCCTAAAAACAACAACAACATCAACATTAACACTAATACGATAAGCCATGTCCTCATTTCACGTCCAGATCGTGTCCCAGGAGCCGGTAGACTGGGGCGAGAGTCCACATTGGGACCAATCAAGACAACGTCTATCATATGTCGACTGTTTTGCCAAACGTATCCATCAGATTGATCCGGAAAGTGGTCGCTGCGATCGCTACAACATAGTGTCGGCCGCCAGCAAATCGACACCGATGACCACAATGGCCATACCGACCGATAATCAGTGTGACACCGAATATGTAATCAGTTTGGGCAACTCATTGGCCAAATATTTGCCAAATTCAGGCGATATTTACAAGTTGGCCGACATAGACGGTGGCACCTATTTTAACGATGGAAAGTGCGATTCCCGGGGAAGGTTATGGATCGGATCGTTTACAGGTATGTCATATCTTAATGTTAAAGTAGAGTGTACAGTACAATTTATAAATAACTATAAAAACTATAAATATATGATAAGTTATTATTATTTTATTGTTACTGTTGTTAATTAGGTGAACCGGGCAATCCAATGACAATGGTCAAGGGTGCCGGTAAACTATATGAGTTTAGTAATGATACGTTGACCACCAAATATAATGGACTAACCATACCTAACGGCATTACTTGGTCGTCGGACAATAGCAAATTGTTTGCCGTAGACACTATGGAACGGGCTATTTATTATTTCGACTACGATAACTCTACGGCCACTATCGGTATGTTTTAACATTTACCCGTAATATATTTTACTAGAAAGCTCAGGGATCGATATATATATATATATATATATATATATGATATTTGTGTAATTTAATTTAAGTTTTTACACACTTTATTTTATTTTTTTACTATCATTCAATAACTTCAGGCAAAAAAAGGACATTTTTTGCTTCAAACAGTGAGTTTAGCTTCAAAGGCACCGAAATCCCATACGGACTGACCGTCGATCTTAAAGGTAACCTATGGCTGGTTGTCTATTACGGCGGAAAGATATTGAATATCGATTCAAATACAGGTTTGTTTGATCTTTGAAATAAAACAGATATAACACACACACACACACACACACACACACACACACACACACACACACACACACACACACACACACACACACACACACACACACACACACACACACACACACACACACACACACACACACACACACACACATACATACACACTATGTTGGCTTTCATTCAACTAATAGACGACTAACACACTAATGGCAAAAATCGGTTATCTATTAGCTGGTGGCCTATTTGTTAAGCCAACAACAAAAATAAAATCAATCAATAGTTTTTTTTCAAAAAAAAATAAAAATAAAAACAGTTGACTTTTTTTCTCCCTATCATTTCCTTTCCCCTAATGTTTGCCTATGACTTTGCATTTGAATTGTTTGTTTTGGTTTTAATCAATATTTTTCAGCCAAAGTAATCAATAAAATCGATTTGTCCGCCAATATGGTGACCTCCGCGTGTTTCGGTGGCATCGAAATGAATGAACTGTTTGTTACGTCCAGCAATCGCGGACTACCCGCACCAGTTGTTAGCGCACAACAAGCGGGACACACGTTCAAAGTGACCTGTTTTAGGGATAACTCGTTTAAAGGCCAGCCATCCAACTGTTTTCGGTTACAGTAAAAGAAATACTATATTATATGATATCACTAAAAAAATACTAATCATTTATTATAGCTTATAAGTTATATATTGTATTTTCACTGTAAATTTACTGCAGTATATACCGCATATCGCACCTGTATATTGATATATACTGTTACAGTATTACTGTATATGGCGTAGAATTTTATGGCATTTACGATATTTTTTGATTATTTGGTAAATGCTTTTTTTAATGGTATGGTATATATATATATATATAGTGTAATAGTGTTTAAGGTGTGTCATAATTTTATTTTTGTTGCTGATGTCGTTGTCGTTGTTGTTGTTGGTTATGATGATGATCTCCCGGTGCGGAAAATGTAACTCAGTTAGCTACAGTATAATATATAGATATATATATATATAAGAAAATTATATAAGAAATTTAAAGTTACGGTACAATAAAATACAGTTACTGTACGGTATTTACAGTATATAAATATTTAAAAAAAAACTACAAATTTATCACATTTAATGTTGTGTATAAATAAATAGTAAAGTTATTTTTTTGTAGTGGGCAGGCAATTTTACCGGCACCTACATACTATGTAGTACATATATGTTAGTATTAGTATTATTATTAGTATTATTATTATTATGACTTTTTATCGTAAAAAAATAGTTAATGTTTAATATACAGTGTATATCATAGGAAAAAACATAATTACCTGTGACATTAAATGTGATTTTTTCCATTAAAAGTCCATACATTAATGATAATGTAGTAATAATAATACTAATAATAATACTACAGGTAATAACTTAATAGTACTAATACCCTAATAATGATGATAATAGTGTTATTAGTATTATTATTATTATTATTGTTAGAGTGGGTGAAAAAAAGCAAATATTTATCTAACACTTAGAAGTGTCAATTGAAATAACGATTTTATTATTGTTGAAGTATTAAATAAAAATCTTTTTCATCAATTGAAAAGTTTTATGTCTAGTATTTTTCCTAAATTGAAAATCAAATTAAACAAATCAATTGATCGTATCATCTGTTTTCTACCCGTCCTTTAAATAAAAAAAAGTCCAATAATTATTAAATCATTAAATATTAGAGAAAAACTATGTCATTAAATGATATCATTTTTATTGGTAAAAGTAATAATAATAATAAACTAAAAGCCATTAATATTAGTGAATTTAATTAATTAACATATATATAAATTTATATTTAATGTATTGTACAGTACTATTAATATATATTTGTAGTGTAAATTGTGTATAAGTGTAATGTAGCCAAACAAATGTATTGAATTTACATAAAAAATTAAATGATCTAGATATTTAATATTTAGTTAATTGTTATTGAGTAATTAGAAAATAATTTTTTTTAAATATATAAAAAAATTAATAAATATATTTAGCAGAAATACAAAGTAATTTGTAAACTAAATAATATTTTTTAAAAATAGCATAAAAATTAAAGTAATAACTTATATCAAAGTAGTCCAATAAAAATTATAAGATTTATTTTATTTATAAAAATAAAAATCAATTGTATTTATAAAAATAAAAATCAATTGTATTTTTATTGTTAATATAATTTATTTGTATAAGTATGTAAATTGTTGTAAATTAGATATAAATAGAAATATTAGAAAATTGTTTTAATTATATATTAAATAAATAAATTGATGTTTAAATTAATAAAAAATATATTATTTTCATAAAATACACTGTAAATTGTATTTATTATTTTTAAAAAATATAATACGGTAATTATAGTTATTATTTAATATTTCATTATTAATTAAATAATTTGTTAGAATTTATTGATAGAATTTTTAAAAAAATTATTTATATTAAAACTCATATATTCTTATTGCTAGCAAAACTTTAATTTATCATTATAATTAAAAATATATATATATATATGTAAAATAAAATAAAAACTATATCTATTCATAAGTTTAAATAATTTAACTTATCTAGATGATAATGTTTTTACATTTTATAAAATTACTATTTTTAAAAAAAACATTAACATAAAAAACACAAATATTTATTAAATATTTATATGAAAATAAATTAATAAATAATTATTTTTTGATTAATTATAACTATAGGAGTCACTACTAAAACAAACAAGAAAATGTAGCAATGTAAAATATTTCATTTAATTTCGTTCACAAACAACGTAATTAAATATTTGTTATTGAAATAAGATATTTTATCTAAATATAATATATGGGGTATTAATTTATTTATTCAAAAAACATATACTGCACTGTATTATGTGTTATAAAGTGGATGGAAAATACCGATTAAAATTGTAACGTTATCTATGAATGTGCGCGCGTATTGTTTAATGCCGCTGAGCGCTATGCATCATACATCAACTTTATGTTCACATACATAAGTTTATAATAATAGACTTAAATATACAGTATATTACACTATACACTGTAGTATTCAATAAATACTACTAACAAAAAAAACATGGCATACACTGTGTAAGCATCGACTGTTTGACTATCAACTGGAATACATTGTTAGGCTATGTGTATGCCTACTATTGAACGCCATTTGAAAAGCCATTGAAAAGCCTGTAATCGACAAAATCGCGGCATTTCTTTGCACTTAAAAAATATTAATCAAACAAAACATTCAAATCATTGGATAAACAATAATAATAATAACAACAACAGTGTCCACACATTTATAGGCCCGAAGTTACCGATATATATATATACCAACTGACAAAACAATGGCCGATAAGGACGCCGGTAAGTGTCCTCTGACTGGCCAACAGTGCCGATACCGGCTTTGTGTGTTTGTATGGACACCGATAACATCGCGCCATTTGCCGATGTTGTTGACATTAATAGTGGTCATTGATGGCATTATTGACTACCGATTAGTGACAATCAGCCGGTGTTGTCCACATACACACACAGACTCGTGCCGTTATCGGTACCGAAAAACCCAATTATAATATTTCTAATCATTTTTCTCACTCATTCTCTTGTCTATGTTGTGTCCATTGTCATTCCCGTCGGCAACGATTGTATCGTAACATATATCCAATTCAACAGTCGAGGAGCGTGTGATCAACGAAGAGTACAAGATATGGAAGAAGAACACACCGTTTCTCTACGATCTGGTTATGACACACGCTTTGGAGTGGCCATCACTAACCGCTCAGTGGTTGCCCGATGTTGTGCGACCCGAAGGCAAGGACTATTCCATACATCGGCTAATACTCGGCACTCATACCAGCGACGAACAGAATCACCTGTTGATAGCATCGGTTCAGTTGCCCAACGAAGACGCTATGTTTGATGCCTCCCATTACGACTCAGAGAAGGGCGAGTTTGGCGGTTTTGGATCGGTTTCGGGTAACTAATTGAACGATTGTTTTTATTACTGGTTTTTGTTTGTTTCTAATTATCTGTTCTCACTTTCTCTGGACTTTAGGTAAGATTGAAATTGAGATTAAGATCAATCACGAGGGAGAAGTCAATAGAGCCCGCTTTATGCCGCAAAATCCGTGCATTATTGCCACGAAAACACCGTCGAGCGATGTATTGATCTTTGATTACACGAAACATCCCTCAAAACCAGATCCAAATGGCGAATGCGCGCCCGATTTGAGACTACGCGGCCACCAAAAAGAAGGTTACGGTCTTTCGTGGAACCCAAACCTCAACGGACATCTATTGAGCGCATCTGATGATCACACCATCTGCTTGTGGGATATCAATGCTCCCGTTCGTGACAAGAACATAGTCGACGCAAAGACAATATTTACGGGACACACGGCCGTCGTCGAGGACGTCGCCTGGCATTTGCTACACGAAAGTCTGTTTGGATCTGTAGCCGATGACCAGAAACTGATGATTTGGGACACCAGGTCGGCCAACACCAACAAACCGAGTCACATAGTAGACGCCCATACGGCCGAAGTCAACTGTTTGTCGTTCAATCCGTACTCGGAGTTTATTTTGGCCACCGGTTCGGCCGACAAAACGGTTGCCCTCTGGGATCTCAGGAATCTGAAGCTCAAACTTCACTCATTCGAGTCGCACAAGGATGAGATCTTTCAGGTTCAATGGTCGCCCCATAACGAAACAATACTGGCCTCCAGTGGTACTGATCGTCGTCTACACGTATGGGATCTGTCGAAGATTGGCGAAGAACAGTCAGCTGAAGATTCCGAAGACGGACCGCCTGAACTGTTGTTCATTCACGGCGGACATACCGCTAAAATATCTGACTTTTCATGGAATCCTAACGAACCGTGGATTATCTGTTCCGTGTCTGAGGACAACATTATGCAAGTCTGGCAAATGGTAAGTCTTTGTCATTGAAATTAAATACTTATTTGTTGTGTTGTCTGTCAACTAATTATTGGTCTTTTTTGCGAAATTAAAGGCCGAAAACATCTATAACGACGAAGAACCTGAAACACCAGCCGCCGAACTGGAAGCCGCCGCATAAGTGGTCACTCATTTGATGGTTTTGGTGTCCATTCGTCGGTTTTTTTATTATAAATTTTATTTATCATTTAAGTTATCCGATTAAGAGATATACAAACTGTATTTTTTTCATGAATTATAATTTGTGTAAACTTTTCTTTTTTTTATTTTCACGTATTATTTTTTATTATAATTATTATTATTATTTAGCGTACTATGAACTGGCGCTCCGGTAGGCTTTACTATCATTACTATCATAAAAAAGCAAAACTTAATTTTTATAAATTTAACAAAAAAAACATAAATAAAACAAACATCACTTGTGTTTATATAATTAAATAAATTGATTGGAACTGGAATTTAATGATTGAGACATTTTTATCTATTATTTAATTTATTAATTATTAGTATTAAAATAATAATTCATTATTACTTAATTTATAATTAAAATTATTATTAAATTTCTAAAACATATATTTATTAAATTTTGTTAAATTTACTTATACTGATTGCTATAATTTACTAATAATTTATTATAATTTTAATAAACCTAATAATTGTCACAAATTATTGACCCGACAAACTGATCAATGAAATGGACGGATAGTTCATTAAAAAAAATGTATAATTTATCGAAAATTATTTCGATGTGTTTTAAATTATATATTTATAGTAATTATACACTAAATTATATACATTACCGGTAAATGTATATTTTTAATCAACTTTAAAAAAATGATCTATTAAACTATTAAATTAATATAACTTTAATTACTATAAATTAACTAAAAATAAAATATTTGAAATATCCAAAATCTAATGAAACAGATATTTTAATTGGTAAAATTATCATGTTAATTTATTAAGATAAAAAGTAACTTAGTCATTTATTAAATTAAAGTTATTAATTTGTTTTTTCCTGCGATTTACTGTATTTTTAATTACAGTATCGTTTATTTCTTTAATATTGCATATAAATTCAAGGACATACATACATATTTATACACATAGACATACAAATAAATAAATTACCTATACTTTATAGGCTATACATACATACTTTACACATACAGACATACAGTACCTACACATACATAACTACTAAGACAGAGTGCTATCAACAGTACAATACTTACGTAACATTGCATAACATGACAGTGCGATCACAGAATATAAAGCAGAATAACAGTGTGTTTAGCATTGCTGTGCACTGCTCTTATGTATCAAATTCATAGGCTTTACTCATTGATATACTGACAATAATATTGCATTAGTGTTGGGTACAGTTGAATTGATATGAAAACACTGTATGAGTGGATAGTGAATCACTGTAACTGAAATTTATTCTACGATTCACAGGTATATAAACTCCCGGTGCTCTGATAGTTGACATCAAAATATTGTGAATTGAGTTTTTTTTACTTATAATAATAACATCCAGTTATATAATAAAAACTTTAAACTTTACAAACTTTTTCTTGACTTGTTTTTTATTAAAGAATAATTTGTTTTATATGGTTCGTAAATATTACGCTACTTTCAAAAAGTTTTTATAATTAATAATAATTATAATAATTTAATATTTATTTTTAAAAAAATTTATATTAACAGTGGATTAAAGCAATGGGCAAAAGACACGGCGATCACCACCAAAAACATGGACATCACGGACACCACAGATTTCCTGAACATGGGTTTGGTGGACATGGATTTACTCGACATGGGTTTCCTGGACATGGATTCCCGGGACACGGATTTATGGGTCCTATGCCATCAGCCGATGAACAGGCGGCCGCCGCCGCCGCCCCCGGCTTTGTCGATCCTCGATTGGGCAGTGTTGGACCATTTGGACCGCACAGAGGCGGTCACGTAAGTCGTGGCCATCATGGAGGACATCATCGGATGCACGGCGGGCACTGGGGCTATGGATTTGCCGCCGATCCGCGTCAGATGTGGGCCGCGAGCTCATCCAGTTCTTCAGGCACTTCATCGTCAACCAGTTCGTCGTCCAGCGATAGTGACAGCGAAGACAAGAAATGCAAAAAGAATAAGAAGTGCAAAAAGTTGGCAAAGAAACAGAAAAAGATGGCCAAAAAGTTTATGAAAAAGTGGCGCAAATGTTATTTTAAGAGAGGATGGATGTCCTCATCAATGATGTTCACTAACATATCTCAGTGCACACTATGTTGGCATCCAATTAGACCGTTGGTCGACACAGAAGTACTGGAATGCGGACATCTATACCATCGTAAGTGTCTGAAAGAGTTGTTTGGTTTGTCGGCTCGCGATACGACCAGCACTGCCGCCACCGCCGCCGTCGGCAATGAGAAGAATGGCATTTATTGTGTGCAATGCAAACAACCGATTGACGATAACCTGCAAAATGAATTACGCAAAAGATTCAGTCAAATTGTGACCAACAATGCCGACAACAACAGTATGTCCACCGGTGATGACATGCAATTGAACGCCGAAAAGTTTGCCGAAGACTTCGAGAGTCTTAAAGTGTGAAAAATCAGAAAAAATCAATTGATTTAATTATTATTATAAAATCTCTATTTTAATCCTCTTTTTATAATTAGATATAATTATTCTTATTTATAATAATTATTATAATAATTTTGTTATTTATTTAATCCTAATTTTATTACTTGAATGAATTAATATTTATAATTATTTTTACTTAATTAATTTTTAAATAGTTATATAAACTTTAATTTTAATATTTATTTTTTGATTTTTATTATGTTGTAGTAGTTATAGCAAAAATTGTTAATCAATTAAACAAAAAAAAAAAATAAAAATTTTAAAACAAAATAAATGTAATATTTTATTTATTTATATATATATATTAATATTATTTAAAATATAATATAATGTGAAAACAAAGTTAATAATATTGAAAATAAAATAAATATTTTGGCTTATATTCAAATATATTATGTTGTATTTAAATATAAATATAATTATAAATAAAAAAAATTAAATAATTAAAAGAAAAATTATCATATTTTCGTACATTTTTTAAAAAATCCATTGATTTACATAACATGATGACCGCCGCCGCCACCCGAATGACCCCCACCTTTACCGCCATTAGGTGACCGACGTTTGCGTTCAAATGTAAACTCAGTGGTCACGGGAGGCGCGTCCGTATCAAATGAATCAAGTTTTGACATATCAATAGCCACAGAAGCGGAGGTACCATTCAATGGACATCCAGTTATACCAATAATGACCAGACATGCGGCCAATAATAGTAGACCAATAACTTTATTAGACATTAGTCTAGTATTAAACACAACTGTTTTATTATTATTATTATTATTATTATAATATTTATTAATTATATTATTTTTTTGCTAAAGTTTTTCCTCCTATTTATATATTACTAGAGTTTCTAAAAATAAATTTTCGATAATTTATTTCTAATGTATTGTTTAGTAAAGATTTTATTATTAGTATTTTCGATATAATTAATCAAATTTTGTAGATTTTATTTATTGATTTGATAATTTATTGTATAAATATTGTATTTGTTTATTATTAAAAGAAAAGTGTGTGCAAATAATTTTGATTGATTGATAGATTTAATCTTCAAAAAAAGATAATAATTTATAAAATAATTTTTGTTTGTATAGTATTTTATAATTAAAAAAACAACATAGAAATAAATTATTAGCAATAAAATTATAATTTATTATTAAACTATAGTTTGTGTTTAAATATTGTAGTTTATGTCAATATTTATAAACTTTTATTAGATTTTATATAATTTTTATAATTATTTACTTAAGTAAATATTAATCTAAATGTGTTTTTTTAGTAATTTTAAATAATTTTAATTATAAATATAATTATTTAATAAATACAACAGTAGTTAGAAAAAAATTGTTTGACATTGGAATTACTAATAATTATAATAATACTTATAATAATAATAATATATTTTAAGTTAATATTTCTAACCAAATGTATTGCTAATACTTAAAAAATAAAATAATTATTACTCAATATTTGTTTGAAATTTTTTTACAACTATTAATCATAATTCATATATAATACTAGCTATTTTATAACCAATAAATCATCATGGTCATTTTTATTATAATATTGACTAAACATTCAACTATTTTTTTGAATATAGTCTGGTTTAATAATTATTAGGTATGATTACCATTGAGAAAAAAGTTTTATCCTTTAAATAATAATAATTATTATTATTTAGTACAAAATACATAGTATATAATTATTTATTTATTATATCTTATTTTAATAAAAAAAAATAATTATTTATCCAAATCAATTTATATTACACTTGTAATTATATTTATAGTTAATTTTTTTGTTAATATATTTTATGGTAGATGAAAAAATTAATTAATTTTAGTATTTTAGTATTAATTTTTATAAATTTTGGAAGTTTTTCTTGGGTTTGGTCATCATATTAGTGAATCACACGATAGTATAATAAAAATAGGTTTATTTGATGACACATATCATGATGTGATGGTGTGTCTCAATGTAAGAACCAGTAGGTGTTAAACACGTAGACTTAATAGTCATTTTGTCCGATAGTTTCCTTTAAAAAAATTACTTAATAATAATAACTTATAATAATTGGCTGATTGTTGGTCACAAACAGCCGGTCGACCGGAAAATGCCGGTCAGTTTCGGTCCAGAGTCGAAGTTTAAGGATCTCGAGGCGGCATTCAAAGAGATCCGACTCGAAAGCAATGACAAGAAAAGTGATGTCAGATCACTGGCCGTAGTCAAAGACGACGAGTCAAAGGTATTGTTGGACAGACCCGAGAAAATTGGTTACTATTCTGTCAGACATCGACTCGAAGACGACGAACGCGAATATGTTGGCAATGCATCTGAGCTCAAGTATCTTCACATACCGTCACCGATAATACTGGATCTGACTCATGGCTACGACAAGTCAGTACGTTATGGAGAGTGGGGTAACTCTAAATTGGATAAACTATTGAAATGGATATCCATTAATATCCAAGAATCGGATAGTCATCGACCACTTCTTGACGCAGATTTTGTAACCACTCGTCGCGTTTTGGCTTATATTATGACTTATCCGTATCAACGCATCGAACAGTTAACTATAGCTGCCGTAAAATTTCGCGGAAATATATATTTGTGTCCATTTTGGCCAACACAACAACCGAAGAGCGACTCATTAAATCAAATGTCGTTCAGTGGCTATCGTTTCGAGAAGTACTTGACCAGCACTGACCCGAACCGGGCATCAGATCTGGACGAGTTTGATCGTAACGGCTATATTGGAGTTATTAAGACACAAATGACCACTAATGCACCCAAACGTTCGGTACATTCGGTAATATTTACGTCAAAGTTGGACTGTTTGGCCGATAAGTGGTCAAAGTCGAACAGTTTGGATCAATTTGTTGAACTGAAATGCGCTAAAAAATTAAATCGACATAAATTGCTTCAATGGTGGGCACATACCCACCTGATTGGTGTACCGATCATTCATTGCGGTATAAGAGATGACCGATTGATGGTAAAGACTGTCCAAGAGATCAAAGTAGACAGTCTTCGAGAGAATACCTTTTGGACGCCAGAAGTTTGCCTGAATTTTATGAATGATTTCCTAACACATGTCAAACAAGTGGTCATCGATGACAACCCAGATCTGGTCTATCTGTTTGAGTGTCGTCCCCGTCATGTCATCACTTGTACTAAAATGATAAAACCGACAGATTTTGAGGTATTACCCAATTGGTATGTCGAGGTGTTTAAGGAGTGATAAAAAAGGGTATTTAAGATAATAAAAAAGTATGGTTTCAAATACACAAATCAAAGAAAAATTGTTATTACATTGTTTTTTGGGGTTTTTTTTATAATTTTTCATTTAATATATTCATTTAAAATATTTTTTCATTTAATTAGACTATATATTCGATACATATATAATTGTTTACTTGTATTACATATTAATTTCATAAATTACTTAATAATTATCAAATATTGCTTTTGTTTTAAAAATATTGCTTATATTTATAATATACGACTAATTAGTAATTACTTCTATAATTAGTATTTAAGTACTAATTTATCATTTGTTTCTAAAAAATATGATTATGATATAAAATATTATTATTATTAATATATTTCAATTTAACTATTTAAATAATTTTGAATGTTTTTGTTACTTTAATAAATTTTTGTTGCATAAAAATATATTGAAATTTATTTGATTAACATGAAATGACTATATAATAAATTGTTAATAAGTAAATTAAATGCTACTTTAATTATAAATTTTAGCAAGTTGAAAATGATAGAAATCATTACCTAAAAAACAAAGTTTTATTGAGAAAAGTACTTGTTTTTGTTGTTATAAAATAAATTTATATATTTAATTATTAAACATAACTCAATAAACTTGAATTTATTTATAACTTAATTTGTGTATAATTAATATTTGCCTTTTTAATTGAAAATTATTTCATGTTTTTGAAATTCATATTTTACTAATCAAACCAAATTAATGTAATGTTATTATTAAAATTAATAACTTAAAATTATTTAACGTAACACAATAAACTTGAATTTATTTATAACTTAATTTGTGTATAATTAATATTTGCCTTTTTAATTGAAAATTATTTCATGTTTTTGAAATTCATATTTTACTAATCAAACCAAATTAATGTAATGTTATTATTAAAATTAATAACTTAAAATTATTTAACGTAACACAATAAACTTGAATTTATTTATAACTTAATTTGTGTATAATTAATATTTGCCTTTTTAATTGAAAATTATTTCATGTTTTTGAAATTCATATTTTACTAATCAAACCAAATTAATGTAATGTTATTATTAAAATTAATAACTTAAAATTATTTAACGTAACACAATAAACTTGAATTTATTTATAACTTAATTTGTGTATAATTAATATTTGCCTTTTTAATTGAAAATTATTTCATGTTTTTGAAATTCATATTTTACTAATCAAACCAAATTAATGTAATGTTATTATTAAAATTAATAACTTAAAATTATTTAACGTAACACAATAAACTTGAATTTATTTATAACTTAATTTGTGTATAATTAATATTTGCCTTTTTAATTGAAAATTATTTCATGTTTTTGAAATTCATATTTTACTAATCAAACCAAATTAATGTAATGTTATTATTAAAATTAATAACTTAAAATTATTTAACGTAACACAATAAACTTGAATTTATTTATAACTTAATTTGTGTATAATTAATATTTGCCTTTTTAATTGAAAATTATTTCATGTTTTTGAAATTCATATTTTACTAATCAAACCAAATTAATGTAATGTTATTATTAAAATTAATAACTTAAAATTATTTAACGTAACACAATAAACTTGAATTTATTTATAACTTAATTTGTGTATAATTAATATTTGCCTTTTTAATTGAAAATTATTTCATGTTTTTGAAATTCATATTTTACTAATCAAACCAAATTAATGTAATGTTATTATTAAAATTAATAACTTAAAATTATTTAACGTAACACAATAAACTTGAATTTATTTATAACTTAATTTGTGTATAATTAATATTTGCCTTTTTAATTGAAAATTATTTCATGTTTTTGAAATTCATATTTTACTAATCAAACCAAATTAATGTAATGTTATTATTAAAATTAATAACTTAAAATTATTTAACGTAACACAATAAACTTGAATTTATTTATAACTTAATTTGTGTATAATTAATATTTGCCTTTTTAATTGAAAATTATTTCATGTTTTTGAAATTCATATTTTACTAATCAAACCAAATTAATGTAATGTTATTATTAAAATTAATAACTTAAAATTATTTAACGTAACACAATAAACTTGAATTTATTTATAACTTAATTTGTGTATAATTAATATTTGCCTTTTTAATTGAAAATTATTTCATGTTTTTGAAATTCATATTTTACTAATCAAACCAAATTAATGTAATGTTATTATTAAAATTAATAACTTAAAATTATTTAACGTAACACAATAAACTTGAATTTATTTATAACTTAATTTGTGTATAATTAATATTTGCCTTTTTAATTGAAAATTATTTCATGTTTTTGAAATTCATATTTTACTAATCAAACCAAATTAATGTAATGTTATTATTAAAATTAATAACTTAAAATTATTTAACGTAACACAATAAACTTGAATTTATTTATAACTTAATTTGTGTATAATTAATATTTGCCTTTTTAATTGAAAATTATTTCATGTTTTTGAAATTCATATTTTACTAATCAAACCTTGAATTTATTTATAACTTAATTTGTGTATAATTAATATTTGCCTTTTTAATTGAAAATTATTTCATGTTTTTGAAATTCATATTTTACTAATCAAACCAAATGTAATGTTATTATTAAAATTAATAACTTAAAATTATTTAACGTAACACAATAAACTTGAATTTATTTATAACTTAATTTGTGTATAATTAATATTTGCCTTTTTAATTGAAAATTATTTCATGTTTTTGAAATTCATATTTTACTAATCAAACCAAATTAATGTAATGTTATTATTAAAATTAATAACTTAAAATTATTTAACGTAACACAATAAACTTGAATTTATTTATAACTTAATTTGTGTATAATTAATATTTGCCTTTTTAATTGAAAATTATTTCATGTTTTTGAAATTCATATTTTACTAATCAAACCAAATTAATGTAATGTTATTATTAAAATTAATAACTTAAAATTATTTAACGTAACACAATAAACTTGAATTTATTTATAACTTAATTTGTGTATAATTAATATTTGCCTTTTTAATTGAAAATTATTTCATGTTTTTGAAATTCATATTTTACTAATCAAACCAAATTAATGTAATGTTATTATTAAAATTAATAACTTAAAATTATTTAACGTAACACAATAAACTTGAATTTATTTATAACTTAATTTGTGTATAATTAATATTTGCCTTTTTAATTGAAAATTATTTCATGTTTTTGAAATTCATATTTTACTAATCAAACCAAATTAATGTAATGTTATTATTAAAATTAATAACTTAAAATTATTTAACGTAACACAATAAACTTGAATTTATTTATAACTTAATTTGTGTATAATTAATATTTGCCTTTTTAATTGAAAATTATTTCATGTTTTTGAAATTCATATTTTACTAATCAAACCAAATTAATGTAATGTTATTATTAAAATTAATAACTTAAAATTATTTAACGTAACACAATAAACTTGAATTTATTTATAACTTAATTTGTGTATAATTAATATTTGCCTTTTTAATTGAAAATTATTTCATGTTTTTGAAATTCATATTTTACTAATCAAACCAAATTAATGTAATGTTATTATTAAAATTAATAACTTAAAATTATTTAACGTAACACAATAAACTTGAATTTATTTATAACTTAATTTGTGTATAATTAATATTTGCCTTTTTAATTGAAAATTATTTCATGTTTTTGAAATTCATATTTTACTAATCAAACCAAATTAATGTAATGTTATTATTAAAATTAATAACTTAAAATTATTTAACGTAACACAATAAACTTGAATTTATTTATAACTTAATTTGTGTATAATTAATATTTGCCTTTTTAATTGAAAATTATTTCATGTTTTTGAAATTCATATTTTACTAATCAAACCAAATTAATGTAATGTTATTATTAAAATTAATAACTTAAAATTATTTAACGTAACACAATAAACTTGAATTTATTTATAACTTAATTTGTGTATAATTAATATTTGCCTTTTTAATTGAAAATTATTTCATGTTTTTGAAATTCATATTTTACTAATCAAACCAAATTAATGTAATGTTATTATTAAAATTAATAACTTAAAATTATTTAACGTAACACAATAAACTTGAATTTATTTATAACTTAATTTGTGTATAATTAATATTTGCCTTTTTAATTGAAAATTATTTCATGTTTTTGAAATTCATATTTTACTAATCAAACCAAATTAATGTAATGTTATTATTAAAATTAATAACTTAAAATTATTTAACGTAACACAATAAACTTGAATTTATTTATAACTTAATTTGTGTATAATTAATATTTGCCTTTTTAATTGAAAATTATTTCATGTTTTTGAAATTCATATTTTACTAATCAAACCAAATTAATGTAATGTTATTATTAAAATTAATAACTTAAAATTATTTAACGTAACACAATAAACTTGAATTTATTTATAACTTAATTTGTGTATAATTAATATTTGCCTTTTTAATTGAAAATTATTTCATGTTTTTGAAATTCATATTTTACTAATCAAACCAAATTAATGTAATGTTATTATTAAAATTAATAACTTAAAATTATTTAACGTAACACAATAAACTTGAATTTATTTATAACTTAATTTGTGTATAATTAATATTTGCCTTTTTAATTGAAAATTATTTCATGTTTTTGAAATTCATATTTTACTAATCAAACCAAATTAATGTAATGTTATTATTAAAATTAATAACTTAAAATTATTTAACGTAACACAATAAACTTGAATTTATTTATAACTTAATTTGTGTATAATTAATATTTGCCTTTTTAATTGAAAATTATTTCATGTTTTTGAAATTCATATTTTACTAATCAAACCAAATTAATGTAATGTTATTATTAAAATTAATAACTTAAAATTATTTAACGTAACACAATAAACTTGAATTTATTTATAACTTAATTTGTGTATAATTAATATTTGCCTTTTTAATTG